AGTTAATTAAATTAACTACTAATTAGTGTTAAATAGGCTCTAACAGCTAGCTGCTTATAGTATAAGCACTTAAGTAGTAAAAGTAAGAGTAGTGTACAGTGTGCATAGTGTACAAGGTAGGTAAAGTAAAGGCAATATGTTTCTAGTTCTATTGCTCTTTTCTTTTCTTTATACAGAGGAAAAGGGGGATATCTAGATGTTTGCGCACAGAGGTTCGCGCACAAGCATCATGTGACATAGATACGTGATCCTGCTCGTGCGCGATCGTTCGTATCCAGGCCGCGACGCTGCTGCTGCGTACAGACATCTCTAGTTATATGCTTACTTTCTTAAACAAGAGTACTTAGATAGCTCTAAGCTAGGCTAGAACATAACTTTCCTAGGCTAGAGATAGTAGGCTACTAAGTCTAGAATAGTTTATATGCCTATATTGCTCCTTAACTTAAACTCTTTAAAAAGATTAATCTCTAGACAAAGCTTCTTAGCTAAGAACATAAATCTTACCTAAGAATAAATTTTATGTTTATAACTAGGTATATTGTTAAAGTTCTGCTTAGTTTATAGCTACTTTAACTCTTTTTGCTTTAGTAATTTAAGCTGCTGTTTTAGCTTACTTAGTTTTTAGTTAGATGTTTTACTCTCTATCTACTCTAGTATATCCTTGTATACTTAACTTTGCTAAAGCTTATAGAGTTTTACTACTAGCAAAGACTATAGAAGATTAGGAATATATAGGATATTTAACTACTTGCTAATCTTAAGAACATCTTCTTATTGTTCTAGTCTAAGGAAATTAGTAGTGTAATTAATTGTTTCTCTAGGTTAATAGTGCCTATAGAACATTCTAGCCTTTATATAACCTCTAAGATATATTTAAGAGGACTCTAAGTACTCTTTATCTTTAATCTTATATTAGCAACTAGAAGGATAGACAGAATACATTTCTAACTTACTAGCTTTATTAATCCTAAATCTTCTAATATTATAGAAGTTTAGAGGATTAGGCATTCTTATACTATAGTAGTCCTCTTTATATCTATAATAAACTATACTTACTTTTTTAACTTTACTAGAATTATTAGCTACACATTTAAAGAAGAGCTTGTTAAAAAATTTATTCTCCTAATGTATCTAAGTAAATCTTTGCTTTTCTTTAATATTAATATTTAGAAGTTTTTACAAGAGCTTCTTCCTATTAGAGGAATAATAATCTTAAAAAGGTATTTAGGTAAGCAACATGCTTAATAAAAAGAGAAAGTTGTTCTAGTAAAGAGGGACTTTTAGGTCTTTGTAGAACATATAGTAGCCTCTAGGTTAGCAGTTAGTATTAGACTGCGTAAGAACACAACTAGAAATTACTTATCCTATAGGTTATTGCCCTTACCTTTCTTATCTTTTATAAGTCTAATATAAAGCTTTGTCTTTCTCTTCTCCTTATTAAACATTATAAACATGCATACATCCTAAATATAATTGTTAGCTAATATCTTAAAAATGCCTATGCTAAGTAACCTACTTAGGAATGCAATCCTCTTAAGTCACGTTTAGCATTATCTCCTAAGTCTTCTTTAGAGTTCTCCCTTCTATTAGACTTAGTAAACTTGCTAATCCTGCCTACGCTATAGAAGTTTATAGTAGTTATATAATGCTAAACAAACCTTACCCTTAGTTTAGCGTGTATAATATAGCTTTGTCTCTATTAATAAACACTTAGGACTTTATAGTAAAACTTGCTAGAGAACTTTAATTCTCTTGCGTAGAGTTGTAGGTGTAGTGCCTTCTTAAGGAATTACTTATTATACTAGAAAAGATTATTATTACAAGCATATTAGTGTAATTAGTGCACGTCTTACCTTTTTTATATGTTCCTTATTTTTAGAGGAGATTAGGTGCCTGTTCTCTGCACACTATACGCAAAAGTTGTTCTAAGCGTTCTAGACTAAATTATAAACTATAGTAAGTTGTCTCTTTTAGTTATAATCTTAACCCTTTCTATTACAGTGTTTAAAGTAGTAGTTATCTCCTTTTTTGCCCTTTATGCTAGTCCTAATAAAGAGCATGAAGTCTTTAAGGTCATTAGTGCACTCTAATCTCGCATCTAGACAACCCATCTTAAACCTGTAAGGATTAGCTCCCCTAAGGTCATTTTATAACGGGTGGCACAGAACTTACATTCCCCACCGACGGCCCTGCCTGTTCTTGTTAGCTTTGTGCTGCTTGCTAGAGTCGTCTTCCATGGTTTTGTTCTTAACCTTTGATGGATCCATAGCTGCAATAGTTGCACTACTGCGTGCAAGAAACTCTTGCTCAAGCACAGTCAGTATCACAGCCACTGTGGTAGTGAAGCTCTGAATCCAATAAGTGAATCTCTATGTATGGGAGAATGCCATCCAGGAAGAGGAAGAAGAGAGAACCAGATGTCCCGGTCATGAAAGAAAGAGCGAACCAGCTTCACTATAAACGCTCCAGATAGACCAAGTCATAGTGCCCGGAGCACTGCGTTTACACAGAGCATAGCCAACTGCAACTATCAGCCATTGGGCCATGTGTTCTAAGCGGTCTTCGCCTCGCAGTCTTTGCAGGGCCCCAAAATCGGACTCCCCCAGAACCCAGTAATTCGGCAGAGCGCCGCCCCGGCGCAGACACCCGGTACATCACGAGGCGCAGTAAAACACGTTGATTACAGGCAGATATGTATTGTATCGTACGGAACTCTGAGTAGTGGTAAGGCTCCAGTCAGTTGCGGGAATGCTTGTACATTGCCATCTGAACATATTTCGAGAGTTGCTGTACGAAGCCCCTGTCACATAGACTTCGAAGGTAGTCAAAGTGGTATATGCGTAGACTAGCTGCTGATACGTGATCGTGTGAACGTCTATCTTTTCACTGCGACTTGCATTTATTAAAAATGGCTACACAGCAACTGCCAAAGCACATAACTGTACACAAGGTCAGCGAAGGCAGAAGCGGGATTGAAGAGAACTAGAGCCAGACCTCTCTAAACAGGATCATCGTGTATATTCGTTTAAAGTTGCTGTTCTTGGGATGAAAAGAGCTAGGAGTTGGGGGACCAGAATCAGGACTAGAATCAGGACTAGAATCAGGACAAGGAACCAAAAGGGGGTCGAGCATGAGCAGCCTGAGGCACCTGGATTTTGGTCGTGAGTAGCCTGAGGCACCATGATTTTGATCCCGAGCAAGCCCGAGCAAGCCCGAGCAAGCGTGATTCGGGCTGAGCATAAATGAGCCGAGGTTGAGCCGAGTAAGATTTTGCTAATGTAATGGCCTAAAAACGAGTAACCTAGTTAAGCGTATGCCAAGAGTAGATTCCACTTGAAAATAGCGTTAAAGTATTGTTATAATTTACTTGTTTTCTTTGTCCTTTTTAACTTGCTCCTAGTGAGTAAGGACATGTTAAGGCTCATAGTCTCCTCTTACAAGTGATTAAGAGAATTAAGAGCAGCAGGGAGCTTACGGCGTGGTGGAGGCTTAGGCTTGGGCTCCTCCTCTTCCTCGGCGTCTATATAACGCTGGTATATGGTTTTGATTGAAGTCTCTGCTTTTCGGTACCAAATGGGATCGTATCGCCATTTATCCTTAAACCAGATAGGGAACTTCAACCCAGAGTTGTACGCGGTATTATCGGGATAAGCGACGAGAGCCTGCGCGATGGAGTATAGAAGAGCTTGAAGCCCGAGAGCTTGAAGCTTGAGAGGCCTGAGAGGCATAGTGCGTCAATTGGCCAGCCTGGAGGAAGTTTGATATGCTCATGGTGATGTGAAATTGAGGTTATGAGATAGAGGGTGCTAGTTGCACTGCCTATAGCCCTTGCGTGCTCTGTACAACGCCGGCGACCTCAACCCGAGCCTCACCTCAAACCTCACCACCAAAAAAAGCCTATACAAGTCGTAATACGATATACTTTTCAGCCTTAAATACGATTCGATACGACTCAGAGACTCACTACGACTCTAGAATGCACGTGACCGCAACGTATCATATCCTACGAACCGTAGCCCTTCCTGTTGGTCACGCTGCATGGCTCTCACGCATGGCCCACACGATAGTTGCATGCGTCCTCACAATGGCCGTATGCATGTCACGATAAGTCTTGTGTTGGCAAGACTTACCCCTTTTTTCTTGCACATATATAGACTTCTCGGTGCACTCCTCTAACAATCAATCCAGCTCCTCATGCTTTTGGTGCTCCTCCTAGCTTCCGTGTTCATTGGGGCTTGCCCTTTCTATTGAACCAGCCACTATTTGTGTATTTTCTAACGACAAATATTCACCGTCTTACTCTTTCCCCTCCATTTAATCAAGGTAACATCTCTTTCTACGGCCACAGCGCTGCATGTTATGCGTAAAGCACACCTATCATTGCATTGGTCTTTTCCTCTTGCATCTTTCCTCGGAATGTTCACATCATTCTCCTTATCTCAGATTTGTTTTCACTTTTTGAAACAAAGACTATCGCAATACCATCGAAGCTACGAAAATCCAGATGAATTATTTTATCAAGTTGATGATGAATGTATGCTGTCTCCTATACATCAAACTCGATTCATATTCACCTTACTAACTTAAAGGCACCCCCAAAGCTTTATCGGATATTTCTAATCGCAAAGTACAAAAACCATCTATCAGTAAGTGCAGATATATTCGACTATGACACTACAAGTAGGGCGCGGTCAATTCACCCACGCAGCCTCACCACAGCATCCTTGATCTACATCAAATGAACCGATACCCGCAATACGCTCTACCCTTTCAGTTCCGTTCCGTTTCTGGACTCCCCAGATCTCAACAGTCCCCATAGGAAAACTCGTCACAGCAACAAGGTCGCCGTCAAACGGAGCTGGAGTAACAGAGCTAGTCATTCCTGTATGAATAGCATTTCCACTTGTCTTCCAATTCACTTGCGCTAGCCTTCCGGCGATCGCACCGGTGACGCCATCAAGCTTGTACACCGTTATCAGACCATTCTGGCCTGGCGTTTTTGATTGGGAAAGAGTCCAGAGCGTGGAATTGGAGGACGAAATCGCGAGACTTGTGGTGGAGTACTTACCGTTCCCCAATTTCTTTGGGAGGATAGCGTGTCGGGTATCACTCAACGATGCATCGATCCGGTCGTTATTTAAAAGCGGGACTTCGATGAGTTCGTTAGTGTCTTGGCTTACAACAAATATCCTGTGGCCAAACGGATGAGTGATGATCTGCTTTGGGCTCGTCGCATTTGGGAGGAAGTCTTTGTCCAGCAGATCCCGAAACGTGGGGTCATCGGAGATGTAGAAGTTAAGAATGGAACGAGACTTGGAATCAAGCGCGTGTAAGTGCCGACCGTTGGGGCTAAATGCAATGCTGAAAATGTTTCCACTGATAGCATCACTCTTCAAGCTTCGGTAGCCACTATCCAATGTCAAGAACAGGCTACTACAGGATCCGGTGGTTGCTGCGCCGTAAATCAGGTATGGATCTTGTGATCCGGTGATCAGCTTAATGCTTGCAAAGGCCGTTGTATTACCTTAAAAAATCGTTAGCAAGCCTAATATTCGTCTTTCAGGTGTTATTCACAAGACTGCGGTATTTCCATGGCGCCTTCATTCACCAAAGAGTAATCTGCCTCCACAAAATACCTCGATATGGTTCCATCAGCAGGCCGGCTTCCAAACAGATGAGTTTTCGAGTGCTATGGCATATGCTTAGGTTGTCCATTTAAGAAGTAGGAATGCGCAGTCTTACGTCCAATGTGATTGATCGCGATGCTCCGGACGCGGAGCTATTCTTAAACACTGTAATGTTTTTCGCTACATCGTTGAATTCCAACGTATAAATCGAGCTGGCATCGATCGTTCCGACAAAGAGATAGTGCCAAGCTGCGTTCGCAGGTTGTAGGAGGATGAGCGCAGCAAAAAGGTAGCGCATATTGGATAGCGGATGTTGAAGTGAGCAAAGAGGGTAAGAAAGTAGCAAACTGCGACTGAACCCTCTGTCAAGAGTTTGAGTTTCTCCAAAGAACTTCTGCTTACCTTTTTGGGGGATTCCTTGGTCGAGCGGAGGTGCGGCTAATGAGAACAGCTGAAATCTTCCGACACCTTGTCTGTAACATATCGATTGCGGGGCAGACTCGTCGAATTATAGTCGTAGCTGATATTGCGCTAATGAGTTATACTCGGTGGACTCTATCCGGCGCTCGGCACTTCCACTTCGGTAGTGCTCGTCAGCTTCCGAATAGGAATTTTTAATCCGGAACTGGCACTCGTGGCTGATCGGTGGTTGTGAAAAGTCGTCACCAGTTAAGCTCACTTCAAATCCGTGGATGAACTGGTGTAAATTATTTCCCATTTGTAAGTGGACTAGCAAATACAACTACAAGTACGCTTAAAACAAACGACAGCTCAGCGCACGCTCAAAGTGCCCCCCAGAACCATAGTACGAATGCAATGATACAGCCAAATTGTCCTGTTCTAGTTCTCGATGCAGCCCCGGTTGGAGCGGCTTTCGTAGATGAAGGCGTTCCAGAGGAAACGATAAAGGTAGCTTGCACTCCAGTCGAGTTTTTGCATGATGAAGGCACGGCGGCGGCATCTCCGTCGGTAAACTTGACCGCTGCGCACTACCCATAAGAGGAGGAATTGTTAGAAGACCCTGCACGAGGTGTTGACCCGACATAGGAGCACGCTCACCTGGTACAACGAGCCATCAGCGGCTTCTTGAACGATTTGGACGACGGCGTCTTGCCCAACCCACTCCTTCTTCCCTGGAACAGTTGGTAAGCAGAAATCCCCAACGCCCATCTGGTTCATCTGAGGGATCAAGTCCACGAGCTTATCCGTGCTATTTGCGAGCGCCGTCCAGTATGTAAGCTTCGCCTTAGTATGGGTAGTGAGGAGAGAGATAGGATAACCGCCGACAGGCCATTCGGTCACTTTGTCTCGATTGTTGATCGAAAAAGAGCCACAAGGGCCTTCTCCTTCTTTTACGTCATTGAAGCCGAGCGATGGCGGTAATTGTAATACAAAATGGGCATCGGCTTGAAGAAAGATGAATACAAAGAGCGACCACAACAATGAGTTGAACGGAGGCGCCATACGGGCAAAATCGCGAATAGTGCAGCAACGAGCAACGCTGCAGTTGGAACAAAGCTTCAGGGTGAATTTCCGGGGGTGGCCACGAGCAGATATGGGGGGCAAGGCAGAGAAGAGCATCAATACGGGGGCTACTGTTTGGTTGGCTAACAAGCGAACGCCATAATCCAACCGGAAATTCGAGAGGCCAATTGAGCTAATTATTTATTACACAATTAATTCTTCCCGACGTTTTCGCTGTCCGACTTCAAAAACATCGTTCTCTCACTCAGAAAATTCCAACTGTCATAGCACGAGCTAGGGTAAATCTTGAAAAGCACGAGAAATCCTTTTATGCGCGAAAGGGAAATCCAATTATTAATTACGACCCCGGTTTGACAGCCCCTTGCTCTCTCGGGGGCTACCAGGCTAAGGTTTTGCATGCTCGAGAATGCAATGCGTCCCCAGTCTCTCAAACACGATCCTGTGTGCAGCCACATTCAGTGCCGATTCCTACTTTACAACGCCAATGCGAGCATTGCAACGAGGCCACCAATGAAAACATCAGCACTCTGACTCATACCTGCCGCACCCGTGAACTGAGCTGGCGCAGACGCCGTTGCAATTGTTCCATTGACCTTCGACGTTACCCCGGAATGCATGGCAGTAGTAGTAGAGGCTTTAGCTCCCCCAGCAGTGGAAGCGGCGCTCGTTATAGGTATTCCTGCCGAACCAGTGGCGGAGCGTCCAGGTGTGCTTGAACTAGGGCTTCCCGATGAAGGGCTTCCGCTTGTTTCCGCCGAAGAAGGTGCAGCAGAAGAACCTAGTGTTGATAAAGGCGTAGCGCTTGATGGAGGCGACGAGCTGGAGGCTCCGCCGCCACCCACGAATGATGCAGTGACTCCCGTGCTATTCACACAGCTACCAGGGATGCTGGCAGCACTTCCGGAGACGAATTTAATTGCGGCACACTAATTCGCCGTTCTTAGCAAACTTCTTTCAGGATTATGGGAGCTTCACACCTGATACAAGGTTCCATCGGGACTGTGTTGAATAACCTGTAGGATAGCGTCCTGGCCGACCCAGGCTGCATTTCCAGGCACCTGAGGCAGACAAAAAGTACCAACACCCGTTTGCTGGACAACTGGAAGTACCGCCGAGAACGAGGTTGGGCTACTGAGAAGAGCGGCTTTAAAGTCCCACGTGACTGAAGTATGGGTCGTCAACATCTGAATCGGCGCACCGGCAATAGGGAAGTCCGTCACGCCAGTGCTTCGATCTGTTGCGGAGAATGAACCGCAAGGAGATTCGGATTCCTTTCCATCGTCAAATCCGAGGCTAGTGGGTACTTGGAGGACGAAATGAGCGCGGGCAATGGCGGCGAAGCCAGCGAGAGTTGCGACGCGGAAAAACATGACGATGGACTGAACGAGGGTTGGGGCAAAAACGATTTTGTATTAAGAGATTGTGAATACTTCAAAAGTCGAGACTAGGCATAAGAACTAATGATCACTGGCAATAGGGAATATATATATGCGATCACCTCCACAATATTAACCTTTGTACCTTTCGAGGCGCCGGATACCCCTGGGAACCCATGCTCAGGGCGGCTCTTCTTCCAATTATTGTGGCTGTAAGACTTCCGCCTACATTAATCCTTTCAGTTGGGCGGCTTGGGTGAGAGCACATTTGAGTTGAATTTCTTTCGCTAGCGTCTGCAATCCGCCATCCCACACAAATGAAAGGTCTGAGGCACAGATTGAGAGGCGCTTTGCCGTAATTGCATTCATTTATTTTCTCATCAACCTGTTTTCTATATGTTCTCTCATGCAGAGATTCTTTATTTCCAGGGTTTTCCTCTCCTCGTTAACGAAACGCCAATAAGACATGCAGGACAGGGGTGGAACAAATATTAACCTAGGTGATTCGAAGCCCAGGCTCTCTCATCAGGCGTTTGCTCAACTCTTTTCGTACTCAATTGCAGGAGGTCTAATTTTCACATACTTCTATCGCCGCCTTGTTCTTTGCAAGCGGCCATTTCAGTATGTCCTTTTTCCCTAAGGACCGAGCACGTTACTGACCTCGATATCCTGAAAAACCTACTTCCTGGAGCTATGGCGATGCCAGTTTATCCTCAAAGTCATCAATCACCTGCATCAAATATCCTCTCTCCCGCTCCGCGCACTCCAGGCAGTCAGCTACCTACGTTTCCACATCTCCTCCCAGCCTTCCTCCTTAAACCCTCCACCCCTCAATCGAATGATATTTTTGCTCTTTTATTGGTCTTTCCTAGCGTTTTTGTCTACCTACAAGGCTTTCATCGATGATGCGAGCTATTCAGAGAGGGCTGGCTATCGCTTTGGTTGGGTGGCCGCAGCCCAAATGCCTTTGGTCTACGCTACAGCATCGAAGCGTAGTTTACCCGGCTATCTTCTTGGATTATCTCACGAACGCTTGAACTGGTTCCATCGATGGGCATCCAGAACTTTCACGGTCTTTGTATGTGTCCATGGAGCGTTACTTTCCGCCGAACATGTCAACGCTGGTTTGTTCAAATTGGAATTGCAGCTTATGCCGATGTTGAGATACGGACTTGGCGCTGGTGGGGTTCTCCTTTGGACTTTCTCATCATCGGTGAGTATTTTCCGAACCCTTGGGTACAGATTCTTTGTTTTCCAGCACAGTGCGTCTGCCGCGATATTTCTATGTCTAGTGTACAAACACCTTGTCTCGTCCGCCCGCACCTACGCTTGGCCAGCCATAGGCCTGTTCACAGCCGATTGGGCAATTCGGTTGATTTTATTCTGCTACCACAGCATAAATCTAAACGCTGCCAAGCTAGCATTCGGACTTTGCTCTGAATTGATGAGCGTGGGCAGCGACATCATTGTCCTGACGTTGAGAGACTACAAACACAGTTGGAAGCCTGGCCAGTACTTTTACGTTTGGATACCCACCTTAGGACCCTTGGAGACCCATCCATACACCTGCAGTAGGGTCTATTCGCCTTCTGATGCGGAATCTGGAAGCGATCTACAGTTCGTAATCCAAGGCAGAAACGGATTTGCCAAAAGACTTCAAGAGCATGCTCTCAGTTATCGTGAGAGTCATGACCAAAGATTTCTGCGCGCATTCGTGAGCGGTCCCTACGGCACTTATCCTAAATGGGATTCCTACCAAACACTTGTATTCATCTCTGCTTCAACCGGGACGTCATTCACCCTTCCGACGTTAGAGAGCCTAATCCACAACTTCGATCATATCGCCACCTGTCGAATTCGATGCCTCGTCGTGACGCCAAATCTTGCCCGGCTGGAGCCCTACTTGGCGCGTCTCTGTGATGCCGCTACGCTTGCTAAAACACAGCACTTTGATTTCCGCTTTCAAGTCGCGGTTACCGAGTCCACACAAGACGAGGAGCAGTCCGCTCAAAGTGGCGAGCGGCGGTATAATGCCATTGAAGGGGAGCAATACGAAGTAGTTGCGGGCGGTGACAGTCGTGAATTTCCATCTCCGGATCAGTGCTCTTTCCTCTCGCGCTCCTCCTTACCATCACCAGAATTTGCCGATGAGTTTAGCCTCCTATCGCATGGGCCAGTTACGATCCCGACCTCAATTGAGCTAGAAGATTTTGAAAGAGAATCAAAAACGAGCGAGGCAGTGCTTATCACTGGAAGACCCAATATTCGCGAGTATATCAGTCATGCTGTTAGAAAAGAAGAAGGCAATTGCATGGTAGCTGTCTGTGCTGGCAGTGCGCTGGTTGCCGCTACAAGTAATGCGGTTGCTTTGCTGGCTTTGAGGCAGATTATATGGGGAAATAATACCAAGCAAAGGATATATCTACATGCGGAAGAATTCTCATTATAATAGCAAGGTAGCCGGGCACAAAGGAAATAGGAAGCTCCCTGAGCAGAAAAAGCTTTGTACAGCTTCCTTTTTTCATGAATGCATTACCTGGCTATCCGGTCGTCGACATGTAATATAATGCCCATGTACTACTAGGCTATCAAATAAATGTGTCAAGCATTCAGTCCCTGCTTCCACCCGCATTCAAACACCTCCGTTCTCTCACAAACGTCCCATATCTCCCGCTCTGCCTGCCCCAAAGCTTAGTGATGGCCCCTGAACACAGAGGTTCCAGTGTCATTGAAGCAACTAGATGGGATGGTCGCTTTGGGTCCACTGATGGATTCGATAGCAGCGCCCTAGAGATTCGTGTTAGAACATTTGCTATTCCAGGAAGATAGTAAGCTCCGAGCCTGATACAACCGCCCCTCTGGCGAATGCTGAATAACCTGGATAATGCCATTCTTTCCCTTCCAAGAGTCGCATGCAGGAATCTGTGGTTCGCAAAACCGCCCGACGCCTGTCTGATTCAGGTCTCGGGTCATGGAAATCCAATTATTTGGCGCAGACAGAAGTGCAGCATTGAATTCCAATAGGGCGTTCGTGTGTGTTGTCAGGTAACCGATAGCACCGCCTTTGACCGGCCAATTGGTCAAGTGGTCGGTCCGGTCTAATGGGTTGAAGCTTCCGCAGGGTCCCTCAGCCTCTCCTGCGTCATCAAAACCTGGACTAGTAGGGTCGAGGAAGACAAAGTGGGCTGTTACAAGTTGGCCAAAGAGGAGGAGCTTAGCCCTGGTGAAAGATTGGAATAGCATTTTCGCGCTTCTAGCAATTAGTTGGTGAGAAATGGGATAGATGATAACTTGTTGCAAGAAGGATTGGCTCCTTGCCCTTCATTTATAGAAAGTAAGTGAAACTGTATGCAGTACTCAATGAGCAAGTATTTCCCCATCTTCATCATAATGGACTGTAAAACTCATTGGTTTGCCAAATATTGTCCCTGAATTGACCAGATGAATGCCTGTTTGGTAATTAAGGTTTACATGTGAGGTAGATCTGTAGAATCTTTGACCAGTACTGTATAGAATATCGTGCTGCTGCAAACGTGGAAGCACTTAGGCAGAAAATTCGAAAAAGCAAAGTTTTTCCGTCAATCTGAGTGCATTTGAGCATTTTTAGTCCTTCTATAACTAAGAGGAATCGGACCATTATGTCCGCTGCAGAACAATACGGGCTCCGTTGCACAAGTGGGGGAAAGCCTGCATGATCGCACCCTTGTTGCAACCACGGCGCTGATAAAGTGGTCCCCCTCGTGTTTCGGAGAGAATTGCAGCTTGAGGCGTATAGGGTGGGTACTACTATATGCAGGTTCGCGCCTAGGGGAGTTATTGCCGTCCGAAGTGTTTATGGGGAGTAAAAAACCAAGGTAATTGAGAAGGCAAATTTCCTTCGTGATGGAGTGAAGAGTACATAGTCAGTAAAATCAAGAAACCCTCCTACTGGGTCGCTCCAGCTTGAGGGGCGGCCTCAAGCAGTGCATCACCCAAGAAGTCAACAACAGTCAACAACAGTCAGCCTTCATTGCGCATGAGCAAACGCGAATTGAGAACGGATTAAAAAAGGGGGAAAATAAACAAGAAAAGTGACTGGATATCCTCCTCAACTCGACTGCTTGTCATCCTCGAGTTCGAACGCAGACCCATGTGTTAAAGGCCTATCTACACTCGAGTGTAGAACCCAAGCATTCATCTCCCTGTACAACCAATATTCTCATTTCAGTGACTTAACCGCACGGATACAGCTAGACATTGAACGATGCTAAGATTGGCCGAAATGTGCTCATGCTCTCTTGCAAGCGCATGAAACCTTCTATAAGACAGCGTGGTAAAACCGCCCAGAGCACGTCCCTCGACCATAAAGCTAACGCAGGCACTGTAGATTCACCCGGCAATCCCAATTTCTCGCTCCAGTGGCACGGTTTCTTCGAGACTCTGCATGCTAGCGAAAACAGGCGATTCGTGCTGAGTGGCAAGTCCCCAAGCCATGAGGTCAATTCTTCATTTCGCTCAATGTTGAGACAGTCTCTAGTGGCAAACGTCATCATCCCTATCATATCTTCTATCCATCAGCGCTAAGATCAATCTCTGCGCGCAAATGTGCTTCGCTCTACAACCTGCTCATTCAACCTCGCGTTGAAGTAGTTAGGATTCTGTGGCTTTCGATGTGCCCCGCACTTTCTTCGTCTTCGTCACAACCTTTGTCTGCAGCACCTATCAAGAACGGACTGTATGTCTCCCGATGACGCTCCTCCGTCCTCCCTCTCACAGCCCCACCTTCTCACCCCAACCGAAATATCCAAGAATCCTAACCTTTCCTCGCAAATAATCTACCTCGTCAACTCCGCATTCCGTCGGTCTCAAGCACATGACCAGGATAGATGGGATCAGGGAATAATTCAAGCAAAGTTGCTGCTTGCGCTGCCGCCGTGCCATGGGCTGGAGGTTTCAATGCTAAGGAATCCCATTGGGGTGAACAAGGCTGGGAAATTAAGACGGTGTGTGTCGAAGGTGATGTGAAGTATACTAGTATGGGACTTGCGGTTACTCTTCTCGATTTTCTGGAACGGTTTCTTATCGATCTAGAAATAAAAAAAATGCGATCTCGTGGAAGGCAATAGAATGAGGGTTGAGGGAGGGTGGTTGTTGAAGCTTTAGATTCAGGCTACACAGTGTCTCAACGGGGTATATTGGAGGAATAGAGGACATAAGGAAGTAAGGAAGATTGTTCAGAAGGCAGGGATTTGGTCTTGTCGGACGAGCTTTGAGTTGATTGTTTTGGTGCGAGAAATCGAGTTCGAGATACCATACACGACAACTTGTAAGTTGCTTTGTGAATGTAAGTATTGGCGAGGTGTTTATTAGGGTGATTCCGATCTTCGTTGTTTCAATGCTTGATATACGATCCTGAAAGCATCCCGGAGTTTATAACCTGAGTTTCCAGGGGAGGTAAAGATCTACGCAACCGCAAGTAAGAAGATGAGTCTGCATGTGTCCTCTACGTTGCCATCGACGCAACTACCTGGTGGTAGGCATTGTATTCGTTAACATTCTTGCCTTCTTTAAAGAGGCTTGTGCTGCGTAGGACTTTCCTCCTATTAAACCTGCGCCTTAAACTTACCACGATAGCATATGCGAAGCTTTTGGGAGCACTAAGGCCACGAGGAACAGAAGTGATTGCTAAATGAGTGTATCTAAGGGTCTATTTATGTAAAAGAGTGAGCTAAGCAGCATACCAGCTCTCGTGGGGGACGAACACAATCCAACTACTGCGACTCCCGAAGCTCCAAGGACCTTCCGACTGATAGATCCCTCTACAAGTACATAAACCGGTTCCTTTTCACACCGTGCCAAATATTCTAGGTAATCTCAGGTCTTGGCGATCTAAATGTCACAGAACTCCGCAACCACATCTATGAATTCGAGAAGGAGCATCTGTTCTGCTCTATTCCACGAAAGGGAATCAAATACAAATTCTGGTCCCAAATGACTTCCATCAATGCCCTAGCTAGTGCGTGTCCCCGGTCGGTAGACTAAAAGCGCTTAAAGCGACAAATCCGATGGGAATTTCGACTTATTTATACGAGACAGAATATGGTCGAGATCAAAATCGGGAATGCTACGCATTATATCATGGCATTTTCCCCAATAAAGACTTGGAAGGGAGGACGAGGTCAGCACTGATTCCCCGGTTCAGAACAAGACTAGCGTTTAAGAAACCTCTGTCGTCGTTGTTGGGAAGTTACAGCTCCCAAGTACAGAGCGCATCAACATGCTGCCAGTATCTGGTGTCCGTTTAACGAATCCAGTCCATTGTGTGTCTGCCTATGGAAGCGTCTAATGCCCTCCCCCGACCCGGTGTGATTATGGGGGATTGTCAATCGGGTTTAGATCCAGTGTGGCAATTCTCCGTCAATAAAAGTCGTGCTTAAGCGAGAACATACCGAGCACTACTACTAAATTGGCGTCGACAGGTTTCTGCAAAACGATAGGCTGAATGAATTTGAGTACTTCAATGTAGAGGTCGATGTCGCCCGGCTTCAAGGGAGCATCGGAGGTGCAAGGCTACGGAAAGCTACGTATTCTCAAATCGGGAATAGTAGGGTATGGAAGTGAGCATAACACCAACCTAAGGATTCAGCGAACAGCATAGGAAACGTGATAGGAATTAAATGTAATGCAAAGATAACAGCATCCCTCGGATTCGACCTCCATTCATCTAAGGCATTAAGGATAAGCCATGTCTTCTGCCATTCTTATTCAATTTGCAGGAAATTCAATAACTCAGCCAAGCCCATTCACGTCCCGTTCTCACGTTTCGAATATCAGGCCTTAACTCGACGCTAAACGGAAAATCTATCCTTACTTAGCTTCTGAGGGAGGGCTCCAATGCGAATTTAGTGTTCATCCTTCACTATGTCCATCCGCTTACAATAGATGGTGATGACGCGAATATCTAGAGTCGAGGTTGAATATAGATCCTCAACAGCGAGTAGCGCTCGAACACTCTTCACGATACTGGATAGATAGTGACGGAATAGTACCCCGGGAGTATTAGACTGCCATTGTGTAAGTTGTAGGGTCTCAAGAAATCAGTTGCCTATATTCTCCTCATGCTGAAAAGGGCATTCTGAAGTTAAAGGTGAGAAGTTATTAGAAGATTTAATAGAACTTAGAGTCCGGAAACGTTACAATCTGATTCAGTGTCCCATTAGGAATGCCATGCGTGATAGTAGTATTTGGTCAAAGATTATCTTCAATGGAATCTATACGAACAGAATGTTGAAAAACACAAATTGATGTCATACCTTCCCTTGCCACTCTAGATGTTGCGTGTTCTTCTCTAATTCTCCCTTCTTCACGTTTTGGAGAGCGCGAGAATTCTGTGTAGTGTTCAACCATAGCGATTAACTTAGTCGTTTTGTTCTCTTTAAATGCCCATTGTAAACTTCTCTCTTCAATTTTCGAATTTCTTCGCTCAGAACACAACCTAGACTAGGCTGTCAAGTTATTCCGCACCTAGAACTGGTGGACAACTCCATAGCGATCATTGAGAACAGGGAAACTTTAGTCCATGTCTTGTTTTGTTGGAGTTCTGTTGCTCTTCATTTGTCTCCTTCAGGGTGGTGGGAAGTCCACTGACGTAGCCGAGCACCCGAAAAAGCGCCCGATCCTCGTTAATTAGGAGCGGCCTTATAGGAGATGAGGTATTTCGTGTCGTGTATGACAGACTCAATTAGCTTGAGCACGGATGCGATGTCGCCCAAAGATTCGGCCATTAGAGGCCGCAATCTTTTCAAACACCTGTGGAGAAAATGGGAGGGGCCAACTGAAGAAGAACATGATAATGAGTTCTATCTTTTGGGCTCTTGACTCCTTCTTATGAGACCGGTCGACCGCTCACAATATGCCTTTGTGGGGTCCGCCGGCTCCCGCTTGATACCGGCAAAGGTTGGCATTCACGTGATACACTCGAACCCAATCAATTCTACACGTCACTTCAGAAGAGCTCTGCCTTTGGGGAACTTTATCACCAGTCGTATATTGCTGGTGGCATAGAACTTCGACATGGGGGTCTCATACCGCCGCGATCTAGTGAAAATATGGTAGAGAGTTGAAAGACTGTTAGCTAGTATCCAAATCCAAGCGTTCTATTAAACAAAGTGCATATAGTGTCCACTCATGAGAAGTTCGAATGGAGGCTAAGTGGACCATACATAAGTTTAAGTCCAACCAGCCAATCCAAAAGGAAACAGGCCATGGAAAAGTGACAAAGGCGTTCGATTACTGAACATTCAGCCACAGATCCTCAGCCTCAAAGATTAGGTGAGCCCAATGTTCAATCAAGCTTCTTTTAGTAACATGTCGCGATTGGGGCAGGTGGAAGAAAACGAGCTTAGGGTGGCAAAGCTGAGGGCGTGCTCAGCCACGCGCTTAGCCTCTATTCAGCCACGAACTTTGTCAGCGTCTCCTTGCCTGACACACTCAGTGTACTCTTCGCAACAATCTTCACCACAGAACGCTTCCAATGTCCAAGGAAACGGGAAACTTTCGTTATTTATCTCATCACCGAGTTTGTCGGCCCATCATGTAGATATATCGAACTTGCACTCACCCCGACCAAGACGTATATTCGCTCAACGATGCTTCTGAGAGCCTTCTCCCATTTAACAATTAAGACACATATCCCGTGTCATCCCCATGTCATTCCTGGATTTCAAATCTCATTCCCCCGGGTTCAAGAAGATTCTACGCAACGCTTTCTGCGCAGTAATGATGCTCATTGGTTTCAGCTGAGCATTTCACGGACCTATTCCATGTCGTGTATCTCCGTGATGCCTATGGGCCCTCTTCAACCCCCAGAATCCTAATTCAGATGCTTGGCGCGACTTGCAGGCAGACTTTGTTTGTTTATTTCGAGCTGTGCAACCGTTCTTCAGATTTCCATCAATTTGAAATGCACTATGACTGTCTTCAGCCTCATGCCTCTCGTCCCGACTTCCCCCTTCCGGACAGTGCATGAACTGTATTCGCATATTTCTATTGGACGTAGTTTCTCCTGGCAACCCTAACTAACACTATCCCGAACAAGATCCGACTGAGATGTGGCTCCCGTCTCTAGGCTCCAGACTAGCGGCCAGTATATTCTTTATGATGGTTGGTGTTTGATAAACCAGCCCCCGGTGTATCTTAGCTTGGTTCTCTATGAACTGGTTCCGTTATGGTTCCATCTGGGGGTTTCTATTCCTTTTCCCAGTTCCACTGAGCCACACGTCTACGTGTGTCTTGCATGGATTCATGTCAATACTCGATGCTAGATCTCGGACTTCACCTTAGGCAATCTTTGCTTTGGGCCATTGGGTGGACGCGAATATATGTAGGCTAGCTCTAGCCTTGACAATTCCTCCATGTAGACACCATTCTCATTCAACTTTAAAGCTTTTATCCCAACTTATTACCCTCCTGCGTGGCCTTTCCCCAAGTAGCATACCGGAATCAAATATTTGCATCCCCTACGTTCAATCTGCCACATACAGATCCACTCGTTTCAAAGCCACTATTCACTCCATTACACCCCATTACAAGCATTCATTGAGCCAACATTTCTATTCATTCTGTACTCATGGCTTCTGCAGTTGGAGACTATCTTTTTTCGAAACTAGCCGAAGCAGGAGTTAAGAGGGTTCTTGGATATAGTCGAGGTACGTGTCAATACATGGCCCTAACCAGCCTCTAATGATGGTAGGGTCTATCTTCATTGGATCGGTACAACGCAATGGACTGGACTACGAGGACCTCAACCATATGCATTCCAATCCTGGGCCAAGCGAAATTGGGGCTTTCGTTGTATCTGCGGAGGAAGGCGAGCTCACTGCTTGTTGTAACCAAGGCACCAATTACTTTTCCTATAGACCAGTTGTATATGTCGTAGAACATGCATCCGCCCAATTTTGCGAGTCGGTCTTCCACTCGCTTTAACGATTAAGTTCCACCACTGACTTTGAATATCAGTCTCTCACAGCTAACATCTCGTTACGGATTCGCAACATCCACAATCTTAAGTAGCCCAATCACAGTGGTATCGCAGATCAGTCGAATCTTAGACACCATGTTGTATGAGAGCAAGCCGGTCTACATTGGACTATCGCTCGCGGTTGCTGGCCAACCAATGCCAGCACCATCTCCTTCTGCTTCTCATCCGCCCTCTCTTGATTACCCAACTGGGTCAGCTCCGACGTCTATGAGCACTCCTTCAAGTCTTGTACCACCCCTCGGGGGGACTCCAGGTCTCGCCTCCCACACGGCGAGTCGAGCACACTCTAGTGAGCCTCCTCCGTCGGCCGACGAGGAGGAGGCTGCTAAAGCTGGTATGTCGAACCTCAATCACTAGGTCTGCTATTGCTGATATGTCCAAATTCTAGCGATCGCTATGTCATTTATCTAATTACCCATTTCATCCCTTCGCAAGTTTCTAGCTTTTCCATCACGATGCTAGAAACTCGCATTGCCACGGTTATAAGTTGGTGTCTTTGGCCATAATGGCTAGCTTAAGTGATGCCATCCACCTGCCGCATTAGGATTAGGGATATGCAGGGCGCGGCGCATTACGCCACTTATCGAACTCCGAACGAGCGCATCTCAGCATCGGGAGAGCGGGAGGGGCTTATCAAAATCTTTCTTGTTCACCATCTTTCAGTTTCCAAGTTTGATACATTTTTTGTCGTTGCTTCCTCTGCGTCTCTAGTTTAGCTTCGCTAGAGGTATCCCCTCTCCGTGTTTCAAAGCCTTTCAAGGTCTTCCCTGCAGAAACTCGTTCCACAATCTTGTCCTCCTAGGTTAACCTCATTTGTCGATTGTGGTCCTTCTCGTACAGCGGGGTTTAGCCGAGCCATCACAAATAGCACGGATAAATTACCATGCATACGGATTTGTCCAACTCACCCTGTGATAGGACTTGGAAACCCGACAAGGTGGAACGTTCCATCGAGGCTTCGCCGGATTCGTCCGCCGCGCCTAAGTCCTTGGCAGTGTCCCCAAAACTCAATAATACTGCACTCGAGCCGCTCGCTCTTCGTCGTCAGCTTTGCCTCCAGTTCGATTTCCCAGCCCCAAGTCTCTGGGTCGTGTTGCTGTCATGGAAGACTCTAAAGATTTCAATGGTGCGAAAGCGCTGCCAGCCGTTGATATTGAGGTTATCTCCGATGTGGATGAACGGGAGCTAGCGAAGATCGGAAAGAAGTCGGTGTTGAGGGTAAGTCGTATCCTATACTCTAACAAGGTCGTGTCAGGAAAAGAAATCGACGACTGCATACCCTCGCTTGTCACCCCACTCGTTCAAGGCATTCTAACTTACATGAAACAGCGCAACTTTGCCTTTCTCAGCATCCTCGGGTTCTCATGCTCGCTGATGATCACATGGGAAGGATTGTACAGGTCAGCCACGATTTCACGGTATGACAATTCTAGATAAGAATTACTAAGCGGGGTGCTTAGTGTCTTCGTCTTTGGCCTTATGAATGGAGGCCCTGGTGGTCTCCTGTATGGCTTCCTTTTGGTCTGGGTTGGCTACGCAGCTGTGGTTGCATCTATGGGAGAACTCGTTTCAATGTATATGATCCCGATGCGGCGTTAGGTTCAGAGTGCTGACTAAAGAGAGGTGGCCAACTGCTGGTGGACAGTACCATTGGACACATCGACTCGCTCCCCTGCGATGGAAGAATGTGATGAGCTACATTACAGGATGGTAAGACGTAATACTGCCTGCCAACGTTCGAATACTTACATATATGGCAGGCAATCAGTCATCGCTTGGCAAGCTCTCACTGCCAGTGGTGGATACCTCACCGCGACCTCCCTCCAGGGCCTCGTAATCAATAGCCAATCCAGCTACATGCCTGAGCGATGGCAAGGCACTCTGATCGTGTTTGCTATAATGACTGTCTGCTTCATTTTCAACACATTCCTAGCAAAGCACCTTCCTAAGGTCGAGAACGCGGTGCTCTCGTTCCATATCATCGGCTTCTTTATCGTATTAGTCACGCTAGTGGTTCTCGCGCCACAAAAGACCACTGCATCAGAAGTTTGGACCTTGTTTTTGAACGAAGGGGGCTATGAGAGTAAAGGATTATCATTCTTTGTTGGCCTCATTACCCCGGTGTTCGCGTTTACTGGTGCGGATGGCGCTGTCCACATGAGTGAGGAGATCAAGCATGCTTCTACGGTCCTCCCCTGGGCTATGATAGGTTTCTTCCCCCGCCCCCTAGCTCAAGAATACCCTAATGCTAACATTACTAGGATCCATCATGATCAACGGAGTAACTGGCTTCGCAATGCTCATTGCCATCCTCTTCTGCATCGGTGACATCGATGCGGCACTCATGACACCCACTGGTTATCCATTCATCGAAATCCTAACCCAAGGCACTTCATCCATCGCCGGCGGCACTGTCCTTTCCGCCGCCCTCGTCACCATGTTCATCTTCGCCACCCTCAGCATTCTCGCATCCGCCAGCCGCCAACTCTGGGCCTTTGCGCGGGACAACGCCGTACCCAACGCTCGCATCATCAGCTACGTGCACCCGCAACTAAAAGTTCCGCTTGTCTCCATCACCGCCACATTCACAATCTCTTGCCTCTTGTCCCTCATCAACATCGGGTCCGCTACCGTCTTCAATGCAATTGTGTCTCTCACTGTCGCGGGTTTTTTCGGATCCTACATCCTACCTTTCTCCCTGCTCCTATACAAGCGAGTGTACCAGCCCGAGGACCTGGAATTCGGACCGTGGAGACTTGGGAAGTGGGGGCCATGGGTAAATGGGTTTAGCATTCTTTGGAGTCTATTGGTTATGTTTTTTAGCTTTTGGCCAACAAGCGTGCCGGTCACGCCATTGAATATGAATTGGAGTTGTTTGCTGTGGGGCGCGACAATGATTTTTGCGGGGGTGTTTTGGGTGGTGCATGGCAGGTTTGTGTATAAAGGGCCGATTGTAGAAACAGCGGTTGCGGATTTTGTTGAGTGTTGAAGAGATAGAGTGGTGGCAGCGGGCGGGGATTTGGAGGGAGTTCGGTGCCTGCTAGGGTACGCGAAAGAGTGACAGGGATGCATGCATGTGGCAGACTGCGCATAGTCACTCCACCATGAACCGGGAAATGGTGCGCCAGCCTCATTTGTTACACAGAGCTTGTGACGCGGAAAATTCGAGACTTAAACTAAAATGTTCTGATGTTGGATCCGACCGGCTTGTTCAGTTGGCTTCCAGATTAGCTACGTGGCTGACATCACGCCAAGTTGTTGGTATGGAACTTTCTTCCGTCGGGACGTGGACGCTGGTATTCCGAAAGAGAAATGAACATCAGTTCACATTCCAAAAACAATGGCGCAAACCAACGTCTATATAATTGTCGCGGAGCTGGACTGCGATGCCTTACCGGATTCCATCCTCAGTCCCCAAAATGTTTCTCCAAATTCTCACCTCCCTCATCCTCTCCCTCCCTCTCACCCATGCTATCTCTGGCACAGGCAAATCCACACGATACTGGGACTGCTGCAAACCGTCCTGTTCCTGGCCCAGCAAAGCGAACGTTACGAATCCAGTCTCAACATGCGATAAATCCAGCAACATCCTGACTGATGCAAGTACCAAGTCTGGGTGTGATAGCGGGACAGCGTATATGTGTGCGAACCAGATCCCGTGGTCGGTTAATAGCGCATTGAGTTATGGTTTTGCTGCTACGGCGTTAAGTGGGCAGAAAGAGAGCGATTGGTGTTGTGGGTGCTATGCGTGAGTGCAGTCTCCATTTCGTGTCCATCTCCAGGTCTATTTCCATTTATTCCCACTGCTTTCCTCAATCACGGTCTATAAATAAACCTATCCTACCCCTCCTCCATTCTTCCTTTAACCATCTGAGCCTGCCCTCATCCTACTCTACGTTCACGTATTCACGAGTCAATATTAAATACTATAGATAGTGTTACCTTCACGTCCGGCAAAGCCAAAGGCAAAACCATGCTTATCCAATCCACAAATACAGGCGGTGATCTTGCGGACAATCAATTCGATATCGCAATGCCGGGTGGTGGGCTCGGGATCTTCGACGGCTGTTCTTCGCAATTTGGAGGCTTGGGTGGAAGTAGGTATGGCGGTGTTTCGAATAGGTATGTACGTTCACTAGAACACTTTGTGTGGGCCTGGGGAGAAAGAAGGGGAGCGGAGCGGAGAAGCGTTGATAGATAGGAGGAGGCGGTGAGGAGCATAGGGGTTGAATCTGAAGCTAACGAGAGCAACATAGATCCGATTGCGACAGCTTCCCCCCAGCCCTTAAGCCCGGCTGCCAATGGCGCTTCGACTGGTTCAATAACGCAGACAACCCCACGCATCAATTCACCCAGGTAATTTCCCCTTCCCTCTCCCCTACCTTCCCTCCCTCAATCTCCCACTATTCAATCCCTCTAACCTACTCTCAATCCCAGATCCGCTGCCCTTCGGAACTCGTCAGTAAAACTAACTGTCGTCGCCTCGACGACGATAAATTCCCGATCTACACACCCACGGTTTCTGTCTGGGCAAGTCCGACGCCGACTGTAGTGGCCAAGCAGTGGGAGCAGTGTGATAGTTTGTTGTGGGATGCGCAAGCGGCATGTCCGTCTGGGACGAAGTGTGTTAGAGTTACTGACTGTGAGTTTTTCTTTTCTTTCTGAGTTGGGTGGGGGGTGAGTAGTAGTGGCAATGAAAGAGAAGAAGAGGGTGAATGGAATAGAATACGGGCTAATGTGTTGGCAGATTATTGGCAGTGTCAGTGATGGATGTTAAGCGAAGGAATCCGTTGTCTTCGAGTAGGTCAGTCATTTGGGTTAGGGTTGGTGTTGTAAGGATAAGTTGCTGTTCTAGAAATTCCCTAAAAAGCATCGCCAGACTGTATCATCCGTATCATTGAATTACTAGTAGGGCCGTAGGAAAACTACCAAACTCCTTCCTTTTCACCCACCCACCGTGAAGTAGCTCAGGGTATCATGTATGTGTATCATCCGTCTCCTCCGTCCCACCAATTTGCAGTTGTCTGAAAACCCAATCACCATACTATCTATTCGTCCGCCCGGTGTCGTCAGTGCATCGGCTCGGTCGTTGCTGTCCTCTCCAATAGTTCCCTGGCTAGCGGTTCCTATCCGAAGCCGTGCGTGTCGTTTACCGCAGCTAGTTCAACTTCTTATCCCCAACCATTACGGTGCGTCCCTGACTGCGCTGGTACTGCAAGTAGCCGAAGAACGCAGCTGCAATGGCACCAAGGATGAGCATATTGCCTGTAAAACCGCTTGTTAGTGTTTGTAACCGAAATCCTCACCAGGAAATATGTGTAGACTTGCCAAAAACAAATCCGACAACACCCCCAGCCAACTCAACCAATCCTTTGAAAAACTCGATAACCATGTTGAAGACGCCTGCAAAGGTGTTCAGGATCAGAGCGAACGTGCGTTCGACGAGGTGGCCAGCGGTGGCAAAGATGGAGTAAATGACCGCGAAGATGGATTGGAAAAGGTCAGAGAGAGAGGAGATAATGGAGGACATAGTGGCAGTAGAGGGGGTGAATTGCTCGTATGTGGTGCGGGGTTGGTGGTGGGAGAAGTGTGTGGTGTGTGGTGGGTGATTTGGAGAGTTGGGGCGGTTGTTGGAATAAAGGGTTGATGTGTGAGGAGGTATGTAGGTGGTAGGGAAAGGTAAAGCTGAAGTACGTATGTAAGATTCGTATTCACCGTGTGCGTCTGTCTGTCCGAGGAATTGAGAACGGGAGTCAGGTGTGTGGCTGCGACTCTTAGCTGTTCTTATACCCTTCCCCCTTCCCCAAGCAGGAACCGGTGGCTGATGATGCACAAACTACCTCATCAGTGATTGTTGTGGGCTTTGGAGCTTGTTTCTTCCGCCTTTCCTCCGCCCTGTCATCACTGCCTATTGTGTTTCCTGTCAAAGATCCCATGTCCGGGGAAGGTGCGTGGTGATGGGTGATTGGGTGAATAAGAGGCGGCACGGGAATGACGTAGTGATTCTTGGATGGATCAGCTGGGGGATGATTCGAGAATCCTGTTTTGGTGGACGGCTCGAGATGCGCGTCTTGGAGCATGAGTGCGCATATTATAGCACATGAGCCGCATCTCTTGAGATGTGGTTAATGCATATCAAATACGAAGTACGGATCCGTACCAGGGAGTCGCAATGCATGATAGTTTCCGAATAAGTGTTAGATAATATATTGCTCACGGAGAAGCCTGGGCAGGGTAGAAATGTTGAGATGCTGGTAAGGATGAAGAATCCCGAGTCGCATTGAAGCTAAGCTGCCCGCTGCCACATCTCAGACTCAACGAGTCCTCACGACCTTCATTGCCTCCCACCCCCACTCATCCACGATGTCCAGCTCCCTGAACAAGCTCTTCGAGAAGGGCAAAGCAAAAGTCAAAGAATACAGCTCGTCGCACTCCTCACACCCCAGCCAAGGGTATCCTAGCCAGCAGCAACAGCAACCACCGTATCCCGCCAGTCCCTATCCCCCACAACCATATCCACAATCACCGTACAACCAACAGCCACCGCCGAATCAACACCCAAACCCCTATTCACCAAACCCCAACCCTCTGTACCAACACCAGAATCCCCAGTACGGGCCTCCACCAGGTCAGTGGGGTCCACCACCTTCACAAGTCCCCTCTAGCTTCTCCGCGCCGCCAATCCCGCAACACAGCAAACCTAGCGCACGCCCGGTCCCGACCCCCACAAGCACAACCGAGAATGGGGACAAGAACAGGATCATATATTGGCAACCCACCTTCTCCCCCTCCATTCCAGTAACCCAAAATTTCACGCATGAACTCGGTGCCCACGGCTGGGGCAACAACGAATCGCAAAACTACGTCTCATCTCCCTCAAACTCCTTCCACACTCCCGACGGTCGCCTCGTCGTGCGCGCGATATCGCAAAACGGACAATACACATCCGCGCGCCTGACTTCGCACCAAACGCTCTCGCGCGCGCGGGGTTACCTGAGCGTCAGTATAGTTAGCGCGCCGTGTGCAGAGGGAATATGGCCAGCATTCTGGCTGCTCCCAAAGGATCCGTTTAAATGGCCGGAAGATGGGGAGGTTGATATTTTCGAGTCATGGAATGGCGATTGCGTGAACCATTCTTGTCTGCATTGGGGGCAGTATAACGGCGAGGATTGGAACAAACACCGCGTCATTGAAACACATATCCCGTCCATGGCATCTAGTCGGCACACTTTTGGATTCGCGTGGATGGAGGAGGAAGGTGTGCCCGGGTGGAGAGGGAGGCTGATGTGGTATATTGATGGTAAACCTGTGATGCGGGGGTGTATTCCGCTAGGCGCGAGGAGGATGGAAGAGTTTAGGATTTTGGTGAATGTGGCGATGGGGGGGAATGTATGTCAGGGGAAGTTGCCCAGGGAAGGGGTGTATGATTTTGTGATTGCGGGGCTGGCGATGTGTCAGGAGCCGGATGGCGGGTGGGACGGCTTTGAGAGGGCTTGGAGGGAGGCGCCGGAGGGAAAGACGATGTGAGATGAATATGTTTAGATCTGGAACTTGAACCAAGGACCTTACTCTTTGGGTTGGGGTTCCTTTTTGCCACACGTTAAGAATGGTACGAGGAATCCCTATCTAAACATACAAATGGACCATCCATATTATATCTTCCTCTTCCCTCGTGTTTTCCTCCACCCTCTCCGCATGCTCTATTCTCAGATCAAGCCAAGCGAACAGATCTCACCGGCCCGTCTTCTCTGCTTGGTTTAGTGACCAGAGCAACTGGAGTTGAGTCACGTGTCTTCTGCTGACTAGCTGTACCCCGCTCCCTGTTCTTCCCCATGCTCCTCCAGCATCAACATTCCTATTGCACTATTGCTGGGTCTGATTGTCCAGGCGTGTTCGCAACGCATTGGCTTCGGCTAGTCGATTCAAAGATCAAATGCCGACTTCTCTGACCTACATGTCCGAACTAGACTTAACCCCCCCATGGCAGAGAAAGTAGATTGAGCAATGAGGGAGCATCAATATTCGACAATTTTCCTTGGATTTTCATATTGAGGGAGGGGGATTTAACAACAGGCCACCCCGATACCGCCTCAACCACGCTGCCATCCCCTACTCCCTAATATTCCTCCTTCCCAACCTTAACAACAATCTTCCCAACCGCAACCTGCTTGCTCAGCATCTCAAAAGCCTCCCTTGCTTGCTCCCATTCAAACACCTCCACCACAGGCCTGATCTCCTTCTCCCCCACCATCCGCACCGCCCTCTCCGTCATCTCCGCTGTAAAATTAAACACCCCATACAACGTCTTCCCACCAAAAATCACATCCGCTACCAAATCCGCTAAATCCGCCTTCGTACTTCCGCCCAAAAAGCCCACCAACGAAACTTGGCCACCGCGTTTCACTGCTTTCACCGATTCCTGGAGAGTGGTTGCGCCGCCGATGTCGACAACGAGATCGACACCGAGGCCGTGTGTAAGGCGCAGGACTTCGGTAGACCAGGAAGGAGAAGTGGTGTAGTTGACCGTATACGCTGCGCCCATTTCTATGGCCTTGCCGAGTTTGGCATCGGTTGAGGATGTCGCGATGACGGTTGCGCCAATAGCGTGGGCAAGCTGTTGGACTCAGCGGGTTAAAAAAAAAATCTTTCACCGTGGAATGCCTGGAGTCTATGGACTGGAACTAGCCCAGATGTACTGCGAGATTCAAAGCAGGGAGAAGGAGACGAAATATGCGAAGTACCTGGATAACGAAGCAGCTAACCCCACCCGTCCCCATAGCTAGCACCGTCTGTCCCGGTTTCAGCTTCTTGGGGCCGCAGAACAGGGCGTGCATGGCTGTGGCACCACATGCGGGCATAGCGGCGAGTTCCTCGAATGTCAAATGGGGTGGTGCGAGAATGAGCTCGTTGTCTGGCTAAGAGGACAGATTAGTATATTGGCAAATAGTGCGATTTGGGGGTGAGATATATTAACACTAGGCTGTGCCGGGCCGGTTTTATGGGATCTAGATCAAACCATGCAGAAGAATGTGCAGACCTAAGTCTGCTCAATGAGAGGGGAGGAATTTCGACGAGAGGGGGAGAAGAGAGGAGAGGAGAGGACGTGCAAGGCATGTATGATAGCCCGTCTGGCTGTCAACACATCCCTTAACCACAAACGAAATGTTCAACTTACCAAAACCCCATACTCCCTCAGCGTTCCCTGCTCACCCCCCGCACCCTTCGTCGCAACCTCCTCCACACTCGCCAACGGCCCCAGCCCCCCATCATATTCCCACCGCATCCACCGATTCGCACTAATCACCACCCTCTCTCCAATCTTCCACCTGCTCCCCTCTCCCACCTCCTCCACCTCCCCAGCGCCATCCGCACCCGGAACCAAATCAGGCACATGCGGACCGGGGTAGATAGGATCATGCGCAATAACCATCATATCCCTTGCATTGAGGGCTGCGGCACGGATCCGGACTAATACATGACCAGGGGGAATCTGGGTTTTGTCCGGTTTGGGGACGGAGGTGTTGAGACGCAGGTTCTGGAGCGCAGCGAGGTCTGTCCAGGGGAATCGGGTTTGGCCGTGGATTTGGTATTCAGATGCTGATGCTGATGGCATGGTTGGTCAAGCGGCGTGGCCGGTCTGGATTTAATGAAGAGAAAGAGAGTGAGAGTGAGAGTGAGAGTGAGAGGAGCAGTAAGAAGTATGGAGCCAGAAGGTACCAGTATCATACAAGCTAAAGGAGGAAGAGAGTCACTTTTATACCTATATGTGATGATACGTACACCCCGATACACATTATCCACTATCTCTCTCAAGAATATGCCTGCGCCCCAATGGAGAATCGTAACATCCATTCTGCGCTGTTTCAATGGGAACATACCCATCTTGGCGTGCCTCGAAATATCAAAATTGGATTACCAAGCATCTCCCCACAGACAAATTACAAAGCAGCGTCTACACAACCAATAGATTAGACACTTGTAATCAGTTTCCTCTTGATTACAGAAATTTTCGGGAATTTGATTGGAAGGATTAAAAGAATGATGAGTAAGAAGACTTGAGTTGCGGAGTTCCGCTAAGTGTGAACGTTGTGGCCCGTGATTTGGAATCCAATAAGGAATAAAACTGGCTGGTGGGGTACTCCGATGGACTGGTACGTTGGAAGAACAACAGGTTACCCAATTTGAATCAATCTTAGATGAGATTTACATGCAAATGCCTATATTGAATCCAAGGACAGCAATTGCGACTTCATGGTTTGCTAAGCCCTTAAGCCGGCAAGCGACCTTTTCTCTCACCATCCATTACCAAGACCGCCATCTTCGCTTAAATCCTCGCTCCCCACCTACTACTCCGTACCCCCCGTTCTCCTCTACTCCTCTTTCCCTATATTTTTACTCCCATCTCCCCTCCCGCTACCACCACTTTCCATCCCTTCCTCTCCCAGCCTCCTCATCTTTGCGCCTATCTTGAGCGATTTAGCATATGCAAAAATCAACCAAGGTCTTGGCGCTCTGCGAGATTTGCTCTCGTAGAGTTCGGAAAAAGGGGGGCCTGACCTAAAGGAGAGGAGATGAGCTACTTCAACTCGACGACAGGGCATGAGAAGCCGACCAAGGGCCTAAACGCATATCCAAAAACAAGCAAAATGGTCCCCAGAGTCCCCATTTCTCTCAGTACATGATACTGACTGGGCACATCGACCAGAGCCGAGCTAAATATACTGCTGCCCATGGTCACGCTCAGCGCATCAAATGCAAGAATCGCACCATATAGCTTCTTGTTCGTGGGCCAACTCTGTGCATGCAGTAGATCACCCACGCCATCGTATTCCACCACATGATCCTCCTTCTCCGGGAGCGGGGGAGGATATGGGTTACTAGCTCCAAGGGGCGAGAGAAGCTTCTGGGACTTGACGGTCATGCGCTTGGAGACAGCAGCACCAACTGTAACGAAGTGCTGCGAGCGATGGGTTTCAATGCATTGGATGGCTTCGGGGTTGCGTTCGGTGGGGCGGCGGTATAACGGTCCCGATACTGTGCTCGTTATGTCTCGCCTGTTTCTACCAAGGTTTTGGGATTGTGTTTAGATTTCCTGTAATGTTGGATCACGTGCCGACGACGACGAAGCAAAGACGGACGGAACGGACGATGCTGACAAAGAGCTGCTTGCCGTGACGTGGAAGCTTCCGCCACTTTCTTTTCAGGCCCCCGTGGTCGGATGCGAAGGGGTAGGTTAAGCTACATTTTAGACGGTTGTTTCCTCAAACGAAGGGTCGTTATTCTGTTTCTCATGGTACTACCGTCTGAACTCCTTGTTTGCATCCCATTGTGAGTATCTCCGCAGATCTGCGTTAGCCTCTGCTCTTAATATCTTGTCTTCTTCTTCTTTCATGATTGTTCAATGGGCGAACGAGGAGGGCTACGGTCACGAAAGGGTGCCTTGAGTCTTCAAAAAATGTTGAAAAGGACCAGTTGATGTTTGAGCGCCTGAGGGAAGCTTCCGAACAGCGAAAAGACTGATGGGTCTATATTCCACAGGTCCTAATTGATTGGGAAGACGTTCGTGGGGAAGCTCAAGATGAGCCTTTAGCCCTAGCAACGATTGCTCCACCAGTCGAAAGGACGCTCTGGATATAACGGCAATTTCACCTCCTTCTTGGCTAAGTCCTGAACCGGAAAAGATAGCGGATGCTCCATGATTCACAAATGCGACCAGAGAGAAACTGGGTGACAGTGACTGGCGATGGGCGGGTTAGTATCATCCAAAGGGAATTGAAATGCATCGGAAGAGTGGAGCGGTGCCGTTACGTCATTACGCTAGCGAGCGATACTATCCCATTATTCGTCAGGCAATGAGTGAGCAATGAATAAGCATGACTTCCTTATAGTTAACGCCACTCAAGGATTGTACCTGAATGAAACTCGAGATGGGGAAACAGCTAAACAGCCAATTGCTTTCTACAAGTATTGAATACGCAATAGAAACCACAAACAAAAACGCAAACAAAGACAATCACCCTTTCACACCCTATCTCACTAAGCCTCCAGCCTTCCCTGGCACGGTCCTCCTTCAGCACTGGCGAATGTATAGGCCAATGGGTGCCGGGTTGAAATCCTGGAAGTAGTCGAAGTAGATACCCTTACCACACATAAGGAAGGACACCTTCTCAGCAGCAGGGCAGGCAAACGTCATGATGACGGACTGGGTACCGGGGACAGCGGGGACGCTATGAATGAAGGTTCTTCCTGGGAGAGAGTTCCAAGTAGTTTGTGTGGTGACAGGCTTTTCGAGCTTGAAGAACCGGAGCTTGCCGTGGCCTTTCAGCTCGAAGGCACTTGTCTCCAGCTGGTACTGTTCGGGGAAGAGGAAGATGAGAGAACAGGTTTTGCCGGCATGTTCTCGACGTACGTCGAAGTTGAATGCAGAGCAGATGGTACCGGAGACGGTGCCATTCAGTCTGGTGCCAGAGTACATGTCTGGGTGGTTGCTATCGACAGGGATGATAAGGTGAGGAAACTCGTACGGCCCCTTCAGATTGGCCGGGCAATCGCCGCACTTGGATTTGTCGTGGCACACGGGCTTGGGCTGACAATCGTGCTCTCCTTTGCACTTGCTGGGCTTGGGTTGACACTTGTGCTCTCCCTCACACTTGCCGGGCCTGGAATGACACTCGTGCTCTCCCTCGCACTTACCGGGCCTGGAATGACACTCGTGCCCTCCCTCGCACTTGCCAGGCCTGGAGTGACACCCGTGCTCTCCCTCGCACTCGCTAGGCTTGGATGGGCACTTGTGATCTCCACCGCCGCAATGGTTGGGCTTGACTGGATATGGCAGCGGCTGAGGTATGACAGGTGGTGGCGGCTTGCAAACAGGAGTGCAACTTCCGCTGACAGTCAGCGTGATCTGCTTGCACTTGGCCTGCCCGGGAGCCGGTAGAGTGTAGACATTCCACTCTCCATCGTCGTTGACGGGGCAGGCCCAGAAGGTTTCACTGCCCTTAAAGTTGAGCTGGCCGTTGCAGCTAATGCCGAAGCCGGGGGTTGCTTGTGATGTCAACGAAAAGCAGCGAAGTCAGAGGACGAGATGACTTACGAGCGGCTCCCTCATCACATTGGAACTGCGTGGTCGGAGGCGTCAGGATGCACCCACGCATGCTCTTGTCGATGATGTTGCCGTCCTTGAGGCAGTAGATACCAACAGGAAGCCTGCCACCGACACGGTTCTGTCCGTCGCTGAGTTGCCCGAGGATGCCGCTGGGTCCTTTGTCTATGGGCGGGCCGTGGGCCGTCAAAGTGAAGCAGCATTCATCCCCACCTCCTCGAGGCAAGATGTGAGGGACGATGGCGGACGCTGAGGCTCCCAAACCGAGAGCTGCGAAGGCGAGAGTCGACCTCATGATGAAGGTCGAGAGGAAGGGAGCCTGGATCGATGGATAGAGCGGACAACAAACTATGCTTGGATAATGGATGGCTGGGCAAGAAGAATAGGCTACCTTAGCTCCAAATAGCTGGTCTTGAGTGGTGATGGAGAGTGGCGGAGAAGAGACGGAGAAATCGACGGGGCACCCGTCTTTTAAGGAAGACATTGGGGCTGAGCGGGCGGCTGCCGGCCATAGCAGGCAGAGGCATGAACGGTTTGCAGAGACTGTGCGATGGAGGGGCGGCCGGATTCAAAGGAAGGGGCTGCGGGAGTGAATGGAAGTGACAATCTCAGAGGGCTGTAACACCGGTCGACGCCGAACGTTGGGGGGTCATCGCCATGGTGTGAGACTAACGTCTGTGAGAAACTGCTTCCCCACTGGGGGAAGGACGGTCCTAGAGAATGCCAGACCAGACTGTCACGCACCTAGGAGCGATAGTAGCTAGGAAGGAGTGTCGTATGCTGGGAAAGAGTAACTCAGCCTTGGATCAGGCGCAGCCGCTCTCACTGAGCACTCACTTCAATCAACTTGGTCCAGAGAACAGTATCCAAGGCTCTTTTCAAGTCAATTCCAGACTGACATCGTTGCTAGGTTTATCCAAAAGTGTCTGGGTGTTGAGAACCAGAGTTGGCCCGCACCACTCCCGGCCTTGTTCCAATCTTAGGGCGCTCCACTGTGACGAGAATGTTTTCACTTCCATCCATATCATGGGTGAGGGAGCCAACTACCTCCAGACCAGTCACTATTTTGTCCTCGTTTGTCAGTCGCTGGATCCGTCTGCTCTCACCAATATCGATCTCTCCACTCCCATGCCTCTGTGCTCCCCCTTTTGCGACTCCAATTTCAGGCTCTTGGGTTCCTGCGCGAAGCACTGGGCTCCTCTTCGGCGGTGTGTTATTCTTGCTCGAAGTCAACTGTTTGCCGGTACCAGTCAGCGAGTCAACTACCATATGTCCAGCATGCGCGATCCAGCAGTTCATTGAGCGCACGATTGGTTTGGCTCCGGGAAGTGAGGCACAGACAATTCCCAAGTTCACCTCGAGAATAGTGATCGCAGTCGTAGCAGCCGAATCGTAGAAGACGTCGTAGGATGCAAGGATAAAGCTCAGGTACACTATTTTTGAGACTCCTACAACGCAGATTCTGGTGAAGTCAGTGGGTGAGTCTAGAAAATTAATACGAGGTAGGGAGCGGTTTCAATGGACTACTGGGGTAGCAGTGGATATAGTCTCATACATGCAACCGAGAGAGAATGTTAGTATGAGACTGAGCCGTTTTCGAAGTGGTAGGTGCAGGTGCGACAAGGTGCGGACAGGCCAGAGGTAGACAATGAAGGTCGTGGCAATGTTGAGCCCCGAAATTGCGCTTCAGATCATTAACACGGAAGTGAGGTAGAAGTGGAACTGTGCATTCGAGCTTTGTGAAATTGAGGGAAATTGAGGGACACTCCGAGGGAAGAAAGACGTGAAAAGAGGAGGGAGCGGTCTCTGAAACACAACAAGGGGTATTTCTGGCCTACATCAAGTTTGCATTCATGTTGATGCACCACTCTCTCGCTGGAGGGTCCCAATATCCTCTGACTGGGTGGCACTGGAATAAGGATAAGAAGAGTGCCGATAATATGAACACGAACAAGAAGACCACAACGGAGTGGGAGAAAAGGCGATCGGTTTCGCCGGGGAAAATACGGAGATAGCTGAGGCATATCGACATCTTTGTGAAGCCAACAGCTAGGGGATATAAAATTTGCAGGGTTAAATTCAACTATAACCTCATTTGGTTATTACATTGGTACCCCAATTATGGGTTGCAAGCTTAACAGCGGTTAAGAGAAATGTGGAGGGGCTGAATGCACGTACTTTATAGAATGTCTTCATCGACGTGGGCTCAACATCCCGGAAGTGATGTCCTAGCCCATACACGCAGCTCACGGCTGCAACAACGCTGATTGCAAACGCAATGACGGCAGCTAGCAAAATTAGAATGTCGTCCCGACCGAACACTGCTTTGATCATAACCCTTGTGTACAGGCGACATATGATGAAGACGGGCATGACAATACATGTCGTTATGACGAGTGATACCACCAGCGAGGCTCGTGTCTGGGGATCTTGGGATTCTGGTGATAGTGTTGCTAATGGAGTGGGAGGATCGACTGCCGGCACGGGTAACATTGTCGCCGAAGTAGAACGAAGAGTTCCCGGTGCACAGTTCTAGAAAGGCCGATGAAAAGATAACCTGAGGTGCAGAGAAGCAGAGAATGCGCGAGGATTTCCGTAGGGTCCGTGGTTCGCAAAGGGGAGTGAAGATACGGTCCCCATAACATTCCAATCTCGTGCAGGCGACTTCTGTAGCGTCTTCCGGTCGTCGTCGAGCTGTTTCGTTCTTTCTGACTAGGGCAGCAGGAAAAGAGCACACGAGCATAAACCTACCCGCACTTTAAGCCCTAATCCTAATTCAGACAAGGGAGTCTGGGAAAGTAAACGGGATAAAGCATGAAAACAGTAACGCACTCCTGAACCTATCATGGGACGTAGCCAGTACCATAATTTACAACTGACAAAGGTAATGTCATCATCTGTGTCCCGATTCACAAGACTCGCCAAAGAGGATTCCGGCCACAGATGGGAGCGCCCAGGGCCCTAGCCAGCCCAATGTGCTAACATATTAACCATAGCAATGCTCACTGTGGAGAGACAAAACTGACGCTAGGAAAGGTTCGTGGGTGGCTTCACTCCACATGAAGCCACTCAGAGTCGGCAAAGGGGTTGTGCGTGGTGGTCGTCAAGTAAACGCACTTCATGCGCTGGAGAGAACGAGAGACTCCATCGGCCCCTAGGTATTTCTCCAAGTACTTGATGCGGAGGTTTTCACACTCGGAAGCCTTGCGGCTTCATTGGTGTAAAAAAAAGGCAAGAGAAAAAGCTACTTTAAATGGGCTTCTGCAACAGACATGTTAATCCGCCAAGTGTCAGCAAAAGCCAACTCAGAGAATGACATTGTTGGTATATGCGTGAATTTTAGAATCGGGAAACTCGAGGACTGGCTTGCACGCAGGCCGTCAGATATCACGTTGCGTCCACCAATGGAGCTTTGTGCTTAGGCGTACCTACAGGGTCGACATTTTGGTTGTCATGTTTACTTTTTGCAGGTGTTGGTAACCGAGCGTCCACAGCGCATCAGAAGCAGCAAGCATCCTTGAAAAAGGAAAAGCAAAGAATTGAACTTGACCATATACACCAGATCCTGCAGCAGCACGCCACCCGCTGTCAAAACCCGGTCGGCAGTTCCAGCCTCCTTGTAACTTCCGTTGAGAAGAAATTATACGCCGTTAGAGGGCTGCTAATTCTCTGGGAAAACGGCGTCTGGAAGAGTGTCTGCGGCATTGAGATCGAGACCGTGAAATGTGCAAAACATAGTTTCCACATCTATATCCAAGGGGTTTCCCAGATGGTTGTTCCACGTTTTCAATCGGCAGGCACCGGGAGGCATGGCTGAGTGGAAGTTAGGTAGCTTCGAGGCTTCTTAGTTGAGAGATGCAAGAGTATTGCGGCTTGGAGAACGTGTCCTGACCTCAGGAATGGTCGAAGTTTGAAGTGCAAAGTTGAAGGGGCTATGGTGTTGATCTGAGATGTCATCGTTTCGTCAGTAGAATATTGCGAGGCCTTTTGCCGAGCCTCGGTACGGACTTCGGTCCTGCGCAATGGGCTTTCACAACCAGCAATCGTCTTCCGTACTTCCGTATCACCACACTCAACTTGTCGACTTTTTGTTCAGTAGCAAACGGCAGTCTCTGATTCCTTGTTCTTCACGTATCTCGTAATCCCTGATAGAATTCTGCATCCATGCAATTCGAACTCACTTCCACACCCCTTGCGACCGTTCATCGATCCAAAAAATCCCCCTTCATGCGAAAGCAGCAAGATTCGCCCATCACCAGCTCATCGGCGGAGGTCTCGGCATCTAAAAATTAATTTTTCACCGCCACCAATTCCGACTGCTTAGCTCAAAGTTTATCGGTAGCCACTGGCTCTTGACGTCCTTATTTCTCGCTCAACTTGTGCCTCATGATATTAAGTTCCCGCCGTTCTCCATAGACCGAACTTAATGTCAACCACCACACGCCACTAAGCCGCCCCGTCCGCTACGCCATCGCCATCACCCTCTCCCTCGCCCTCGCCCTCGCATCCCACGGCTAGCACTGAATAAGACATTATGGTGCGACCAGCGAATTTGATATTTGCTCAACAGCTAACAACTCACTGATCGCTGAAAAGGCACTTGAGCCACGAGGCCAGGCGCCCATGCCTCCAATAGCGTCCCATCTCTATTTCTTCCAGTGTCCTGCGAGTACGAAACGTAGTGGTTGTCAAGCGTTCTCTAGAACTAAGGCTTCAGTTTTCTTCTCTCTAGAAGGATGAAAGAACAGGGAGGTAGTGATCACATTGAGATCGGCCCGCTATTTTTACTCGCAATATGTGCAGCACAATTAGACCTCCCGCTTCAGCATATCTCAACACACACAGCAATTCTAGGCTGCAGATCATTTAAACGGCTCGCAAAGGTGAAGTCATTGTTGCAAGCTACAGCTGTCATTTGTCGCGTTCAGCCAACAGCATCGCACGGAGGCTCGCTTCAACAGCAGTCACGCAGCAGCGACAGGGGCCCGTTTCATGCATCTGGAGCAGAAGCCCTTTGGTTACGCAAGCAAAATTAAGTTCTGAAAAAGTTCGACCATGTATCGAGGAAGGGTTAGTGTTCGTCACTCAATCCGAAGATTGATCCCCTGACATTGTAGATACAAAGGCGGGTAGTTCCCGCATCACGGGTAATCTTCGCACGGTCGCGGATTCTAGATCCCTCTTAGACCATGCAGCAGTAAGTGCACCCCCTCGACTCGCAAATGTGGTCCAAATCGCAATTTCCGTGCGGGCTCTCGATTCTTCTTGAGTGGAAAACATCTTAGGCAGATATAATCTCCAGTACGCCTGTCAACTGACTTCTCCTTTATGAGCTTCGGCCCACGTACGGGACGACCTGTCGAGTGTCAGATTTATGCCGTTGTCAAAGGTATCGAGCTTAAACAACTGCCTTAGCACTAATGTGATGTTGAGATGTCGAAATACTTCGAGTTGAAAATATCTGATGTCCGATCGTCCGACCGTCAATCAGATCGTGATATTCTGTCCTGGCCCCGCGAACCCGAAGGCGGGACGATCCTGAAGCTCAAACTCTCTCGGAGCAGCCGGCGTATATAGCCTCTCATGGTTCAACACGATTACTGTTCTTCAAAACTTTGGTTCTGAAGGAGCAATTCCCGCGTTTAGCGTTTCATTGTCGAACCTGAGGCATGTCCTTCACAAAATCCATGATACACTCACGGTACTAAGGAACTTTTGGTAGAGATTCCCCTTCTCCGAAGCAGGCCAATTCTTCCCTGCGCCATCCTCCCCATGCGGCCATCTACAGAGTATGGCCACGTAAGATGCAAGCGCGGCGCTACGCCCACCCAATTAGTATAGATCTCCGCGCCTCCGCGCCACCAACCTAGGCCCGAGGGGGTAGTCAAACCCGACGATCTCTATCAAAAATCAACGACTAATTCACTCAAAAGCGCCAAGAGCTTGCCAAGCGATGGATTGCGATAGATGTAGTGTACAGAGTAGCAACAGAGGGGCTTCCAAAAAGCCAAAAACAGTGATATCAACCTAATACCTTGTAGGACCCCCCATATTGTTGATGACCTCCATCAAGCGCGCAGGCATACTCTCCACCAAGTTCATAACAAAGTGCTGCTCAAACCATTGAATTGATTCCCACTCATGTTGGATAGCGTCGTACATCTCTCTCTGAGAGGTGGGTTGTCGGGGGAGCTGGTGAATACGACGCTTGATTTCCCTCCATACATGTTTAATTGGATTGAGATCGCATGAAGTAGGTGGCCACTCCATGAGGGGAACAAAAGCTTGTATAGCAGTCCTAGTGGCAATAGCTCGGTGGGCAGGCGCATTGTCTTGTTGAAAGATGATGTGATTTAGTTCTTCATAAGCCTCATACATCTCGCGCATCTCTAGGACAAAATCGTGTACAACCTTAATCTAATTAGTATGAGCATTTATAGGGAAAGAAGATTAGAGACTTACAGGGAGAACATTTGTAATGTAACTGTTCGCGGTAATAGTACCATAGTTGTTACGGCTCCACTTAAAGAGAGGGCCAAGGTACTGCCCGCAGAGCTGGCCATGTACGTGATGAGCGTCCCCTGGGTGGAACCTAGGGACCTGGCAATTAGGGAGGTGCTCCTCCCCTGGCTGTCTTGTAACATATACTCTCTCCTGCTCACCTACATGAAAAGCAGACTCATCGCTGAAGATTACATGTTTCCACTGATTATAGTCCCACGTAATATACTCCTCTGCAAACTGCAGGCGCTTCATGCGGGTAATCTCAGAGATGTATGGCTTCTTGTATGCGACTCAACGGTGGAAGCCCTCGAGCTCAAGAGCTCTCCTAAGTGTACGCTCACTTACAGTGAGCCTGAGATGGTCGCACAGAGCTCCATACGTCATACGGCGCTTACTAGGAGAAGACCTGACGACCTCTACTATACGAGCTCTCTCAGGAGTATCGATTTTCCTGAGTCTCACTCAATTAGCTCATAGAGTTAATCTCTCCTTTAACTACTAGTAATTAGTAGCTAGAATGTAGATAGCAGTTACTGCACGTACACAACAACTAACTGTAGAGATATGGAGCAACATCTTCGCTCCAATCTGAGTGATTGACCATCCAGAGTCAAAATAGAGTGTATGGATCCTGAGACAATCACGCAAGCTAAGACAACAGTATTGACGCGTAATAACTTGCTCAATTACAGAGACAGGCATGGCGAATCAATTAGTACAATTTTTGAGTGAATTAGATATGTAGAAGTAGAGCTATGGTTAATAGAGGTTGGGGGGTCGCATCAAGGTCATTTTATATCCAATTTTCTCACTGACCAGCGTGACGTCAACCACGAGCTCTCAACCTCAATGACGACGGTGATATCATCTCTGGCATTGAAAAAGGGATGTACAGCTTCAAAAACAGGAATTGGTTATGTGATGAGAGAGATAGGGGAGGTCTGAAGTGATAGAGGCTGGCATTTGATGAGGATCGCCACATCACATCGTACCGGAACCTCCTACGTCATCACATCTGCTGCGACCCTCGAAAAAATCGAGAATATGGATCCTCTATATCGTACAATAACCTCAAAAAAGCTCCGGATAGAATATCGCGATGAATTGCTGTTTAAAATTGATACAAATCAGCTGGTAGACGAACAGGCTTGGCATCCTGAGGTCGGGGTTGATGGCCCGAGCGTATATAGCGTGGTTGCGCTGGATCTGGCCAGACTCTGTACCCGCTTGATCATGTCGCATGCCGCCTCGAAGGCCGTCGACACACGTGGAGTTCCTCGTTGTCGTACTGGTAGTACAACGTTATTGCAGGATAATTTCATACGTCTCACTACAATTCGAGATTCGTCGTCGATATACAGATCTTTAGCGACAACGCTTTCTTTCCGCTCACCCATAAGCAACCACGACCGTCCTCGTCATCCTCGACTTCCTTGGTTTAATGGTGAGATCGGTGCCTGGTCAAAACGCCGAAGATCCCAGTTGATCCCAAACCCTGCAGCCAACCACGTGGGAGTTGCTTTTGCTGACGTGGATCATGCATTCGTTCCGGTGGCTGATCGACGACCGGGATAAAGCTTGCGGCAAAGCTGGAAGTTTCAGTATTCGCCAAACCTGTTCACATCTCCGCTACACCCTCGTGCCAATCAAAACCCTATTCCCAAAGCATTTATCTGTGCATCGACAACACCTCTATGCAAATGTCGACACAAAAAAGAAAAAATTGGAGTGGTGGGCGTCCTCATTTACTAGTCGTTCTCGTATCAAATTTTCTCGCTTTTCCGATTTGGCTGCATCCGTCAGGAGGCGAAGGGGAAGCGAATGAAGGGCGGAATAAATCGGGCAATTCTTCTAACCAATAGGCGTAGGGCTGGATATTCCCCGGACTCAGACGACTGGCCGCAAAACTAGTGGTCAAGTTATATTGGCTGAAACGAAATGTTGCTTTTGGAAGAACAAAAGTCTTCCTCCTTCGAGACCTTGCTTACCCTATTTCGAGCTCCACGTTTTCTCCCCTACCCGGGAAGGCGTCATGCACTTATGCAGGCATCCCCCATCTCCCGAACCGCCATTAGACTCAGCATCTAACTGTTGTCTCGTCCACTGCACTCCTCCTGCACCACTTTCAAATGCACCATGCCAGGCGGCATTCATCCTCCGCTGGAGGTCATCGCATCGTGGCCGGCAGGGAATTATATTGACCCTCCTACGCGGCCAAAAGCAGTCCTCATCGTCGCATGTGTATTCGGACCTCTCAGCTTAGGCATTCTTATTGTGCGACTATGGGTAAGAATACGGATTCAACACAATACTGGATTAGATGACTGGCTGATGTTGGCTGCAATCGTGAGTCACTTCTTGCTAAGCAATAACCGTGAGCTAACAGTAGAGATAGTTTCCCATGATTGCTTTAACTGTGCTTTTCCCACTTGGTAAGTATATCACGCAGGAGTAACGCGACATCACTTACATGAGGCAGCTACTGAAGTCTATGGCTTCAACAAGCACGTATGGGATGTCAATCCTGCCTTATTTGTACCCCAACGCAAGTTGATCATGGCCATCGAAGTTATCTTCTGCGTTGCGGTCGGCCTTATTAAGGTTTCCATCTTGTTATTCTATCGACGAATATCCTCTCGAGCGGTATCTTACTGTTTCCGCTGGGCTACCAGGATCACTATCACCTTCATCGTGACATACTCGATTGCCTTCACCCTCGTACCAATATTTGGATGTCACCCCATTTCTGCTTTCTGGGACCAACTCAACTTCGTCAAACTAGCAACTGGCTACAAATACAAATGCTTCAACGAAGGCGCCGATGTGTTCGCCGCAGGCCTTATCTCCGCAGTCCAAGATTTCATCACCGCCATCCTGCCTACATTCCTCTACTGGAAGCTACACATCCCGCTCCGGCAGAAAATCGCACTCTTCGGTATCTTTGCAATCGGATATTGCGTCGTTGCCATAAGCGCAATCCGTACGTGGTTGAGCTGGCGCATCTTTTTCGAGACATACGACGTCACCTGGGCGGCGTGGGACAACTGGCTCTGGTCGATGCTAGAACTGCATGTTGGGGCCATGTGCGCGAATGCGCCTGCACTTAAGGTCTTTTTTAAGCACTTCCAGATCGACCTGCTCACATCGCGTTCCAAGTCCCGCTCCAAAGGATCCGGACAGAACAACGGAAGTAACGAGCTCACATTCTCGACCAAGTCCGGTGAATCTTCAACATTCGACAAACTTGCATTCTGGAAGACCCCTAGTAAACAGGGATATCTGAGCGAACCGCATGCAAATTTAGCCGTCGACATGCACGGTGGGGTGCGGCCTCCACACCAGAGCAACAATCGTCGCGCAAGCTCGCCGCCCGCAATTGCCAGCTCGACGCAAATCCTCAACAAGTACGATGAAGACATCGAAATGGCGAACTGGGAAACGGGCACAAGAGCGGGGAATTCGACGCGAGAAGGAAGTTTCATGGGTGATGGGGGTTCGGAGGTGCAGGTCCTGCCGTCAATGCCATCTCAGCCATCACCACCGCCGTCGCCATCACCGCCTTTAACAGTTGCAGCGGGAGCCACGCCCACGACCGCTCAAAATAGTGCGAGGAGGGAGTCAGGGTTTCTGGACAGCGGGAAAGTCAAGAAGAAACCTGCTTGGCAAAGCTGGAGTTGAAATAGCGCCTTTGGGTGTGTTGATAGTGGTGATACCTGGTTAATGATAAGCAATATGATGCCATGACATCAGTTTGTCGGGGTCCGGTGAGTCATTCTTTGGAGTTCCGGTCCAATTCAACTAATGATGGGGACGATAGCTTAGTCGAAGCCGCACCGTTTCGCAAAGAAATCAAAGAGTGGATGAGAAAGGGATCGCAAGGTTTACGACATGCAAGGGGAACCCGGCCGGGGAAGGCTGCTGGAAGACCAAACCGCTAAGCCGGAGTCGGAAGTCTGGCGTCAGCCAATCATCGCCAATACCACTTTCTGTTCCACCACGATCCGATCCCTCCTCCATGCATTTGCAACCAAAGCATCAAGCATACTCGGCACCACCTTTTCGGCATGCTGTTCAATGGCCTGTTATTACACCTAGTATGACTAACACGCTTCTTGATTAGTTACTTCGCGTCGTCGTTTACTCATCAATCACGTACCAGGAGCAGCTTTCCTATCTTAAGTTGCTTACTTTGTGCATCGCCCCGCTTTCTCGATGGCTTTTCTCCGATTCTCTGCTTGAGGCGCTCTGTTCTTCGGCTTTCTTGGCCTTTGTCATCAAGATATTCCTAAACACTTCAAATCGCGCCAACAAGAGTATTGACGGCGCGGCTGTGACGGAGTGCATGGGGAGGATTTACCGCCTTCGGCAAACGGCGATGCAATGCGAGAGATTTGGGGAAAAGGAGTGTAGAATGGTGCAATGGGGTATGTAATGAGGGGGATAAGAGTGGAATATATACATTAGGCTATCAAACCGGTACGAGGGTTCTGGTTCCATCCAGTAGCATCAAGCTCGTTTGTGTATTTAGTAAAAATCAACACCTCCTTCTGCCGCCTTCTCCGCCCCAGCTTAGAACATGTACTCCACCACCCTAAAGAACATCATCATCACCGGTGTACGCCTTCTCATCGCCTAATCTACCCCATTCTGACATCACCAAGTGAACCCGTTCCGTCGGCGCTCCCATTCTTAGCGCCCTCCTCTCCAAACCCGCCTTCAACGCCGCCCTCCTAACCCGCACCAGCTGCTCCGCCACCTTCCCCCCAAACCTCCACGTAGTCAAAGTATCTGATGAATTCACCGTTTCAGAACTTACCGCCACGTTCAACGGCTAGGACGCTGTTATCGAGCATTAAGTACCGTACCCATCACTAAAGATGATTTTTTTCGATTCGATTTATAAATGCGGCCGTCGCCGCGGGAGTGAAGCAATTTATCCCTTCAAAATTCAGTACCAACAATCTTGATCCAAGAGCTAGAAAACTGGTTCCCGTATATGACGCCAAAGGCGGTATGCTGTAATATCGTTAGAAGAAGGTAGAGGAGTCGAAGGGGGAGTTTACGTGGACGAGTTTTTCATGTGAGTCTTGATACGCTCATCCCCACGCCTACCCGCCCTGCCTTCCCTTCTCCCCCTTCAAGCTTTATAGGCGTTTAGTTACACAGTATGGTCATTAGCTAAGCTTCAAAGGGCCTTAAACTCCGCCAAAAGCCGCAAATTTCTCGGGATCTCCGTTAAAAGCATGCATGCCACCATCGACGGCTCGGGTCTTTCACGCTTCAGCATTACCACCTCCACCTACACTCATCTCGCCGTTGTCCATTCGCTGCTTCTCTACTCCCAAACTTCCAACACCCAACTCCCCCCGTTTGACTTTGTCGCCTCGTCCCGCGACGTCATCGTCGCTCTCGAGAAAGCTACCGGGGAGCAGTGAAGTGTTGAAGAAATGGGGTCGGCGCCAGTTGCGAAGGAATTGAAGGAGGAGTTTGATGCGGGGGATTATGGTAAGGTGTATGAGTTACTGGCGCTGAGTTTTGAGGCGGATGTGGATGCAGGATATGATTTTAGGAAAGGGCAGGAGGTATGAAATAGGAAGTTGGGATTACCGGGAGTGATGTTGAAGGAGGTTGCTATAGGGGCTGTTGAGCTTGCAGGGGGGAGTTGAGGGGGCTGAGAGGAATTATGGAGATCGGTGGCGATGTCACTTAAGCAGTTCTTGAGCCTGGGGACTCTGTATTTCCCTTCGTATAGCCATCTGGACGGAACAGAACTTATCCAAGCACTCGATCTGTCCGTTTGAGATAATTCTCGGAAAAGAAGTGATTTATTTCGTCTGCATAATTAACATCATTTCCTTGCATCCTACTTTGTCTACCTCTCTTTTTTCTGCATCGATACTCTATCTATGGTGGTTAATAGAACGTAAGTTACTGTCAGTACTGTTGCTACGGCCCTACAAGCAGTAATAGTGTTTCATTCTTTCAGATAGAGAGATTAAAGCGGCCTTACAGGCAGTAACAGTTACTACTAGGTTAATTAAGGGTGAAGCTTTTGTTTAGTATAGTAACTTCAGTAACTGCAGCAACTAGTGTTTCCAGAGGCTCTAGAGGGATCAACTATAGCATAATATTGTTAATATGGCCGATACTGCTTAACTATATGGAAAAAAGTCGTCTAGAGTTCTAGTTGCGTCGTAGCTACATAGCCTTTATTGTAGAAGGCGATAGCTAGTCATAATTAATTATAATTGCCTTTCTAGCTTTAGCTACAACAAGGAGACTAGACTAGCAGTATTAGTGCACTGCTGCTGTGTGTTTGCAAGGCGTGCCTACTTAGTTTTAAGAAAGCTAGAATCAGGCAAAATAAAGAGTGAATTTACTTTGCTGTACTAATGATGGATACGATGGTTCAAAAATTACAAAATCTAGTGGTTTGATACCGCGTTCACGGAGAAAGTTTTCGCTCGGATTAGTAAAGGGCTACTGTGGAACAGGAGGTGCCAAGGCAAGCACAAATACACTAAGACATCAATTAAAATAGGCAGTTGCTGCAGTAGCTAGAGCCTCATTAACTGTACAGTACCAGAAGAGAATTCACTTTTGTTCTAACTGCTAAGAGATTGCTACGATCAGTAACAGTAGCAAAAGTGCTACATTCCATGAATCGTCATGACCCCATCGCCTCGTTCCCTCACTCTGCACTACTTCACATACTCTTTCCCTGCAACGAGACATCAGTGATACCCTGAACCCACGAAACCTTTGCCTCAGGATCCGCATCCAACATCCTCCCAACCACAACCTTAGACTTCTCAGGCAACTTTCGCAACAACCTATTCGGCTCCTTTCTAAATGCCACGAACCCCCCATCTACACTCACCACTTTCCAAGGAAATCCTGGAAGATCCTCGCCACGTATAGCATCCCGAGACTCCATATACCAGCAAAAGTCGAGGCGATATGGGAGGTTTGGGTGGGCGCGGAGCTCAGGCGGGAGGTAGATTTCTGTGCCTTCTATATTTCTGAGGTCTATTAATTATGTACATGGCATGAGGTTGAAGACGGTAGGTGCGGTTGGCGAAGTCTTGTTAAAACCCGCGTCCCGATGTCATCCAGGAACCTCACCGCGCTTCCCAAATCCGCACGCTTTGGTACAGAGATGTCGCAGAGCATGAAGTCCTCGGCTTTAATATCGTAACATGCCATTTGTCAGGCTTCTCCTGTTGATAGCTCTGAGACTAGAATTGAATCAAAAAATCCTCTGAATTTCACCTGGACAGGGCACTTGAGCTTCAGCCAGTTGAGTATTTCTTGCCGTCTCAAGCCGGGATCAACTCGCTCGAATCAACCGAAGTCCTTGCTTATACTGAACATTAATTCGTGCGCTTACAACCAGTGCTCGTCGTGCATTTCATAAGGGTGGGCTTGGAGAGATACAAATCACCGCCAAGCAGCTAAGCTGCTACGTAGCCTGGAATTGAGAATTACATGTTAATAAACAATATTAAACGCAATGCAGAGCAGCGAGAATGGAAAATGTGGTGATGCCAAAAAATCCGATGTAAGATTTGTATAATGCGCAAAAGTCGGTGTCCGAGGCTTCGCTGAGCGCCCGCTGAGGGCGCTGGCCTACCTCTGGACTAATGTCCCCAGCCCCCCTAAAATCTGCGAATATCCACGGGCTAATATCGAGAACGTGCTTCGAACCCGTCTATGTGTGAACTGCAAACGCGCAGGTTGCGGCAAAAGCTAAGATGATGGCAGGTAGGATGAGAAATATTTACCCCGGGTTTTGCGGCACCGTTGTGTTTGTAGAGGACGAAGGATCGACCAACTAACCGCGATGACAGAAGGTAGATCCCGTTCGCCAGTTTCAAAACACGAAGAATGTTCATGGTTTAGGAATACACAGTTATCCTGCAAAATACTGTGCTTGGTCCCTGCAGCGTCCGGAAGGGTGACCGCCTACTTTCCTCGGGGAGGTATAAAGAGGAGTTTTGAGACCATACATGTCTGATTTAATCAATTACCTAGCATCTTCTTCTGAATCAAGTAAAGCACCATCTCCAACATAAAATTCACCATTACACTTATGTCTTTTAGCATTCTCGCCTCGGCTGCTTCTCTCCCCGTTGATGCTGCAGTAAGTAGCACCTTTGATTTGTTCTTTCGAATTCTTACAATCCATATAGAAGGAACGCAAAGCAGCTTCTCCCAATACGAGTGGTGGATTCGGCGGTATCAGCCGCTCGACTGTAAACGTGAAGCGGGAGAAGCTACATCTAACACCGGCGGTGGCTTCGGTGGCGTCAGACAGTGGACCGTTAAACATGAGACTGGAGAGGTTACACCTAATATGGGTGGCGGCTTTGGAGGAGTAGATCGCTGTACAGTCAAACGCGAGGCGAGCGAAGCCACATCGAGCACTGGAGGTGGTTTCCGAAGCGTTGGAGGTTGGACTGTGAAGGTGTGTAGCAACTACTAATCGTTTCTACAACCTTGCTAATAAAATACTGCAGAAACAAGCAGAGGGGAAACGCGAGGCTAAGCTTGCGGGCATGGTCGATATCTAATCTTGTCTGTGAATCTCTAGAGAAGTGGGTATATAGTGGTTGAGTGTTTGTATAGTGGTGAGTGGAATAGTATGTGAAAGTGCTTGTAGGGGAGAGGGTTTTTGGTCGGAGTCGGAAGATGTTGGCGATTTCTTGAATTGGGTTAGTGTTCCTGCGTATATAGAAATGGGAAAGTACGCCATGGTTGACGTTAGATAAGCGATGAAATTTCAACGTGACGGAAGTGCCCAAACGACTTAGAAATTCTCGTGATAGATAGCACGCATAGGACTCAGTGTAGTGCATCATGTGACTGCGCCGAGGACTAGGCAGCGGCTTGATATGAACTCATCTCATTAATTCATTCTTCTCTAGTCCGCCGCAATCAAAGCGTGTACCTAAAAAATGGGCTCCGGTCACCCAAATCCAGCATCTCTTGCTCCGTGTACCTACTCTTAATCTCCTCCTCTGTATTCTCCATCAACAACTTTGCCCGCTTGTTATTCTCCCTCGTATATCCCCATCTCAAGACAAAAGTCATGAGGATAGCGCAGCACACCATAGTCAAAGAAACACCAAAGCCGGTATGATACTTAGGCGCCTCGCGTGCGATGTATATGTTCGACCCCATGATTCCGCCCATGTTTCCGACCGATATTAAAAGAGCCATCCCGACAGCGCGCTTGGAGCTCGGCGCTAAGTTGTTGGCGATCCAACATACCAGGCAGATAAAGGGACAGTACAGACCTGCCGCAACTGGGAATAGGAAGCCGTATGTCAAGCCCGGGTACTTTGGATGGGGGATTGCTAGTTGCGCGATGAAGCCGCAAGCGGCAATGCAATAACCAGCGACGATAAAGGGCGATCGTGCTTGTCGGAAGTCGGACCAAAACGCAAAGATTAGAGTTACAATAGAGGCGAAGACGTAGATAGGAATGGTCAGCAGTTGAGCGTTGGCGGCTGAATATCCGAGCTGCTGAATGACGGTTGGAACGGTTGCCGTGAATCTATAGTGTGTAAGTAGGTTGCTAAAACAGGACAGTGAAAAGTGGATAACACCTACCCATACACACCAACAGTATTACCCCAAAATATAACTACCGCGGCCCAAACCTTCCAATCGGACAAGCCAGCCAAGATATGGTGTTTCTGAATCTTGTCCTGATTCGTCACCCTTCCGTGTCCTGTCCCAGTCTCCTCTGCTAGTCTGTTCACAAGGAAGTCTCTCTCTTCCTGAGTTAAGAACCGCGCCGTCTCGGGGCTGTCAGGTAGGAGCTTCCAAATAAACAACGAGAGAAACACTGGAATGAGGCCTTCGATGAGGAAAATCCACTGCCACCCTGAGAGGCCAGCCCGTGAATTGAGTTTCTGGATAGCGTAGGCCAGAAGTCCGCTAAAAGCACCCGAGAGGGAGGCTGCGATATAGAACACAGCCATGCGGCGTTGCACTTCATATCGTCGATACCAGAGGGTCAAGAGGAATGTTGCGGCTGGGAAGAAACCCGACTGTGGCAGAATTAAGCTTGTGGCTTCGCTTGGAAATGCTTGGTACTAACCTCGGTGACGCCCAGGAAGAATCGTGCTGCAAGAAGACCCCCATAACTGTTCACGAGGCCCATAAGTCTGCAAAGAGCATCAGTCACCATGCTCCCTAGTTGGGTAGATGTTCTCACGTCATGGTAAGACCCCAGCAAAACATCAGGATGGCTATCCACCGAGACGGTCTCATCATCTTTAGAACGATGTTGCTAGGGACCTCGAGCAGTGTGTACGGGACGAAGAAGAGAGTGACAGCGGTGTTGTACTGGAGACCAACCATGTGCAGGTCTTTTGTAAGTCCTGCAATTTTTGCATTTCCGACTGCACTCGGTCAATTCCCAGGCTTTCAATTCTGGCAACATAAGGAAGGACTTACTATTGCTCCTGTCTATGAATGCGACAAGATACAACAAGGACAGTAATGGCACCAATCTGAAGTCAACTTTTTTCAGTATTCTTCTCGCTTCGGCTTCGTTGAGTTCAACTACGTTTGCTTCAATCTCGCCATCTGAACTCAACTTCTTCTCGCCTAGATCTTCGATCTTCTTGTCATCGCCTGTGAGGTCGGCTTTGATGTCGCCTGGCAAATAACTGGGGGAAGCCATCCTGCGCACTGTTCTTCCGGACTGGCGTGGACGGTTGGATATTGAGGTTTTTGAAAATGGCCTCAAGGGGCTCAGTCAATGTTCCCGACCTACTTCTTGTACTCCCGCAGGAGCGGAACTACAGTGACATTATTCATCCTGCGGGATGCCAATCCAGGCCTTGTTAGGTAGTACGAGAAGATTACGGTGATAAAATGGGACAATCTGGGGTAATTGGTGGATGCCGGGGGGTTTTGCAAGCGGGGTAGCAAAGTGGATCCACACCTGGCACGTGGAGGATTGTCGCGAACGTTGACTCGTGGGATTTAGGATGAATTGGGAAAGTAGCCCGAGAATATTGGATGGAATGGGTGCGAGGACATCTGCCGAACGTTGGGGGGCAGTTTTACCGCGATAGTGGACTGGTGTTGAGGCTTACTTCCGTTGCGGAGGAAGCAGGTTGGTGCGGCTGAGTGGGCGGTGGGGCTAAGGATCAAGGTCTGATCAAGGGAACGACGTGACAACCTTTCCACAAACACGAACATCACCGCTCATGTTTGAGGTGTCCAGGCCAAAAAGAGAAGCTCGAGGCAGCACAAATTTCTCCCTCGCTCTAACATCACGTCCGCCTCGGGGACTTCAACGCCGAATTCTTCCCCACTCTCCGCAAGCCAAGATTCCCTGAGACTTCAACCATCTTTTACGACTCCAATACCCTTGCTCTTTGCCCAAGAAGGTGATAAGATCCTGGACGGAATCCTGAACTGGGCCACACCCCACACATCTCGGCCTCGTCATCCAAGAACTCGTCGACTCAGCAAAGCCCAGAGACCAGGTCGTCGGACCGACGCATCCCAACTCACATCCGACGTTTCCTTGGTGAACCTGCAGGATCTGGTGTGTTTGGCATATTTTCCCGAGTCCTTGTTCGCCCAGTGCGTGGCTCAAGTTCCGGATACCTGTTCAGCATACTTCACCCACTCGACATACATGACAGTGTACCACAGTATCGAGCTTGGCGGCAACCCCGTGAGTTCACGAATTATTACAGAAGCTCCGTAAGCCTCCTTTCTGGTAATGGCTCGGAAGTACGTCGTTCAAAGGCAGGTTTTAGATGCCAAGCGTTTCTCTTGCCTCTTTCTATAACACCTTCGGTGGCCTTCCAGGCAACAGAACCAACCTGTCTATATTTTCGATCTTCCGTAGACAAAGCCAGCGTCTTAGTTGAAGCGCCTCCAATTAGAGATGCCGGACCATCCATTGAACGTAAGCCGGACGGTTGTTTTGAAAGCCGTTGCACAGAGGGATACACTAAGGCGTTGTCTGAAAGGTCTGAGTTTCCCTTTCCCCCTTTCCCATCCTGAGGCTCCTGTGCAAGGATGCCAGCCGTTCTATCTTCGAAGCGGCCCGATGCATCATACCGTACAGGACGTGTTTAAAAGAATGGTTAAATGCTGATCTTCTTCCTGGCTGACAACCCTTTTTTTCGATGAAAGAAACCTCCTGGAGCGTCGAAATCCCGGCCTCAAGCTCATATTGAACTCGTATTTTCCAGGAGAATTCACACGTCGCTTGCCTGTGGTATCGATAGAGCCTGGAAAATGTATCCGTGCTTCGAGATTCTCGAGCACCTGCGCGGGCCTTCAGGATGTCGAAGGACGACAAAGACTGCTTGTCGACAAGCATAATCTAAGCTTGATTAGGATCGCTCTTCCTCTATGTGTTCGTCGCGTTGGCTGTTCTTTGTGTATCGTGCCACATAGTACGGATCCGTAGACATCTTGCGGTTCATTACGGAGTACAGATCCGTACGTTCAGATCTTTGAGTTTGTCAATCACCATCTCTCCCTCCACACACAGAAGCAGTGTTGTTTATTTTCAGCATCAAAGTCGGCGCTTGCCACCCAATCAAGAAGGCGAGGCTCTCGCCTCGTGTTTCGTATCTCGTATTTTCTGAGCGCCACATTTCTTCGGTCGATCCACCAAAAACCTTAACCCCAGAGTCTTTACACTCATTCTTTTCGCAACGCGACAACCACAGCGCCTGCGCTTTCCGTTCGACTATGTCTCTTTACTACTTGAATAAGATGGGACCCCTTTTCTCAATATATTCATATCTACTGCCTAATAGCTCCAAGTGGGAGTGAGATATTGGTGATCCTTCAAATCCCTGACCCATGTCGACCCAAGCCTGAATACGGGTCCAGCCTCGTCCTGGACCGCAAACACGAGCAAAGTAGATTAAAAACCACCAGGCGATTGGCTCGCGATCCCTTCTTGAACCGCACAACGTCACGTTTTCTTGCTTGGCGCCATGGAAAGAAAAGAGTGTTTCACCGGTTGAGGGATGACTCCCGCGTTCTTAAAATGATTGATCCCGCCGCATGATGAGGGCTAGCAGCCCTGCGCAACGGACACCTCTTGGACGCGGATTTCTCGACAATGGCATACAAGTTTGCGCAAACGATCGTCTGGTTGGCTGCCGCACTCAACATCGCCATCGCGAATGCCGCATTCTGGACTGCGACCGAGAATCTCGAGCTCTCACTGACTGTTTCAACCTACACATTCGGCACCACCCTGGACTCATACACGTATACCAGGACGCGCACGATCAAATCCGGCGTGACTCCAACTGTCACCGCGATATCAACTACAACTTACGCGCGCACCTACTATGACCTCCAAGTTGTCTCCGTCTTCTACCCACCCAATGCGGTCGGAGATTCCGATCTCCAACCCACGACCACAACTGGCCAAACAACAGATGTTTTCTTCTACATGCCGGTGGTGTACACGGCACCGACGACATGCTCATCCTCGTTCGAGTTCACTACCACAGAGTTAGTGTTCATTCCATCCGAAGTCACGGATCAGGTCACAGCCACGAGCAAAAAGACTGCAACAACGACCGGGTACGGAGGTGGAGTTACCGAGACCTGGTATCTGTCTCAGAGTGCTGTTCCGTTTACAACAAGCACGGAATATTACTACACAGCATATGTTTCGCGCTGCTCTAAACCCTACCAGTACACCTACAACAGCTACTATCCCAGCTCCACGGCGCGTTCTGGAGGCGGTAACGGCGGATACTCTTATACATACTGCTATGGATATGGCGGGTGCACAAGTCTCAAAGTCTGGGTTATCATTATCGCAACTCTGCTCCCTTCGCTATTCGTCCTTGGGTTTATCGAGAGTTATTTCTGGTTCCGGAGGCTAATGACAGGTCAAGGATGTTTGCGATTCGGCACAATATCTTGGATTTGCATCTCGCTATGGGTTGCATGCTTCACGCGCTCGCAATCGGCTCGTAGTAAAGAAGATCAGAAGATGCTGCGAGAGCAATGGAAGAATATGGGAGGCTGGACACGGTTCAAGCTGTGGTGGAAATGGGGATTCCGACACTCGTATCCAGTGTCTCTTCTGGGTCAATATTCTAGGAATACGGTGGGGTATCTGCCAGCGCAGACCGGCCAGAATGGAGGAATCCCGCCACCCAATGGCGGGGTGCCTCCAAATGGTGGGATGCCTCCAATGACTGGTATGCCGCAGGGATATGTCCAGCAGCCATACATGCAGCAACCGTATTCTATGCAAGGCGTTCCGCAACCTTATCCACCACCAGGGATGATGCCATACCAACAACAGCCTTACCAGAATCCTTTAATGCCCGGCCAGCAACCGTATCCAAGCCCTAGCCCTGTATCACAGCAATCGTACTCGGGCGTCCCCATGCCCCCGCCGACATATGGGCAAGAAAATCAGCCAAGGGCGGAGGCCGAGGGCAAACCAGCTCCCACTGTTAGCGAAGTAGCGAGCACGCCACAGGCAGCGCTAGGAGAGGTCAGCGAGGTAGCAAGCACACCACGAGCAGCGCCAGCGGAAGTCAGCGAGGTAGCGAGCACGCCCCAAGCACCAGTCAGTGAGGTAGAAAGCACACCGAGAGGAGCGGTTAGTGAAGTGGGAAGCCCGGCACCGACCCAACCCAGTGAGGTGGAGAGCAAGCCCCCAGGTGGCCACCCAAATCCTGGAACTTAGTTTCCTTCTAGATCTTCTTTCCTGGGTACTGGGAATCTGTGTGGTGAGGCTATCATTTTTGTTTTCTATGGCTTTGTTTTCGTCTATACCCGATTGTGCACATTTTCTACTGCACTACATTTTTGTAATTCGTAATGGCGGTATGATAGTAGGATATCATGAACCAATGGGGCTTTAGAGAGGCCTAGTGACTCCCCTAAGAGATCAGTGTTTCAATTAACGGCTGTTTTCCCAACAGGCCATTCTTGAATTCCACAGATAAAACGTCTTGCCGTGAGTCCCCTTTAATTGCACATGACCCTTCTCATCACTGGCCATTCAATGGACAACACAACTTCCCCATAACTCTTCTTTCCCCTATAACACTCAATAAGTCTACCCTCATCTACAACCCAACCGACTTTCAACAATCTGCGACCCCCTAGGCTCTTGTTCAAGAACCAAAAACTTTTCAAGACCGTTTCGAGAAACCGTTTCCTTAATTGTCTGCTCATCACGCTCAAACCATCCAAACCCTCCAAATGGGCCAACAACCGAGCTGTCTTTTCCTTCCCTTCGGCTCCTGTTGGGTTCTGAATAAGCGGTTTCCTGACTTCAACTGCACTACGACTTGCAATGGAACAGCTATGCCATTGCCCCATTACGGTTATACTATCCAAAGGTGGGAGAAATATATGTTGTGTGGGTGGTGACGCGTTGAGATTGTGAGTTATGTTAATTGTTTCCGCACTTGACATGGTCACCGCCGTGCTCGTCCAAGACGCCCGCTCAACCCCAGCATCCCTAACATTCTAACCCTCCACCACCCAGAAACGAATCTATAGCCGTGAGGGCCGTGTCCTCCATATATTCCGTATCTTCCATATCCCCAAACTCCCCTCTCATTTACATCTACACCGGTTCTTCAATCGCCGACACATACTCCACCTCCACTCCCCCCAGCACTCCTCTCCCACCCCCTCTTGCCACACAAGCCTACCAAACACGTACTGTGGCCGGGTGGAGCGTTGCCGCCGCCACTACATCTCCTGCACCATCCGTGTACCAAAAGCACACCACCGTGATAACAATCGCTTTCATCTTGCTCCTTGCTGTTTCTTCTAGAGGCCTTTATGTTAGCTACCATCTTTTTCAAGCGCGGCGGAGGCGTCGTAGGGAAGGATTTGAGGTGGAGGATGGGGTGTATAGGAAAAGGATGCGAGGAAGAGTGGAGAGGGAAGAAAGTGGGTATGGAGGTGGAAATATCATTCGAAGTAGGATTGGGAGGTTTGAGGGTGGTGGACTTTCATGAGCTTCTAGTATTGCGGAAGGAAGAAGGTTTGGGGAAGGTAGACAGTTTCGTTAAGCAAGCAAGTAAGTAGACAGGTTTCTTGCGGTGCATGTATACATGTACTTACTACATATGCATTGGTTTGGGAGTGTAGGTAGCACTGAGCCCTGGCCCTGCGATTTCTCGTGCCTGCCCAGGTTTGTTGATTTTTGCAACTTGCTAATCCTAGCAGCGGATGGTTAGGTATCGAGATTCACTACGTCTATCATTTTCACAATCGGTCTTGCAAGAACGACTGCGTTCTCGTTCAATAATAGTCGAATACTAAAGAATGGATTGGTTGAAGGCTACACCCAATCCACGCCACTCCACCAACTCCGAACACTTTATAAACTTAAGAAAAAAATACGTGCCAATTTTGGGTCTCTCTGCCAACTCCCCATCCCTCTTATAAAAAAACTTAAAACTATCGTCATCGGTTACAAATTCACATGTCTATCCTTTCCTACCCAGAAGCATTTCATCGTTCGAAGGCGCGAAGTATACATGGGATGGTGCCAATGCTGTTATACAGGAAGAAGGGGATATCCATGAAGGGTGGTATGTTGGTAATGGATGGAATGAAGGTGGCGGAGTGAGATCTTTTCTTGATCTTGGCGAGGCATGTTAAGTAGAAAAGTGGAGAGGGAAGGGTGAACTATGAAAAGGAAGGAAATCCTAGAGATACGCTTTTAGGGAGTAGTTATTAGCTTGTTGTGGGTTTATATTTGTCTCTATCTCTATTTTTGAAGCTGGTGAAGGGTAGAGGGGATGCATGGGGGATATTCACAAGGTTGGATTCCTAGCTCTGAAGGTATTTAAATCCTGTGTGTTTTTAGGAATTATTACTTACTTTAATGTTGGGATTTCAGATTTATCTAGAGATCTACGGCGAAATACAGAAAACTGATAGATCTGACAGATGTCTGAGGATTAGAGCGGCGGTGAACATGCGGCCGCTTCGAAACGATCGATCTGCAGCAAGTAAGCCTATAACTCCATCCCTACACCAAACATATCCCTTGCTCCTCTAAAACCCGCTCCCGCATCTCCCTCCAGCCGTCCTCCGCCACCGTCACTCCAATCCCGACTGCTCCCTTTCCTACATGAATCACGTGAGCTAACAGCCTGCCCGCAATCCAGCTCACCGCAAAATGGCCCCCTGGAGTGAAAATCCATGGCCACCTTCACTTTCACGCGTGGCTCTATGTACACCTTATCTTTCCCGTCTGCAACTTCTCTTCTCCCCTCTACCGATGCATCCACTTTGCATACTCTGCGATTTTAGATCTTGAAGATAGGGATTGAACAGTGTGAGGATGGCGTAAGTACAGCACCAACAATCCAGCACTGAGGGTATGGAGATGGTGGTGAGGCTGATGTGCTCGGTAACTCGTCGTCGCCGCCGACCTCAGGATTATCAGGTCGAGGTTTCTGCGATTTAAGAGCTTTAAGTTAACAGCAGCCAACAGTCCGTCCCAGAAACGCGGCTGTTCCGCCAGATCACCCACACCAGCTGCAATTGTGACGAAGCAGTGCAACCTAGGCGAAAGCGATATCGACAATGCCAGAGCCGGCAAGAAACGGAGAATTACCCTACCTATGAGCCCGACAACCTTGGTTCCACCACCGAATAAGCCGTTTCGGTTTCTCGATCTTCCAGGAGGTATGTTGCAAGACCTTTGAGCTGTTACTGTTGCTATTTTTGTTCTTGCTTTGGGGGTGATGAAGCGGGTTCATGATGTGCGACTCGAGACTGACGCTGAGCAGAAATTCGCAACCGCATCTATCACTACACAACTCTGCACCGTCGCCAAGCCCTCCTGGTCCACCTCCCCCGTCGCGCCACTCTTCGTCGTCGCCAAAAGCCTCGTCCTAGCAGCCGTTCTTGGGTCGGCCTAACCCAAGTCTGCTCCCAAATCCGCCACGAATACCGCCCTATCTACCTCCTTAGCCAAGAAGTCGGACTCGACTTGACCAACACGCAAGAATACCTGGACACATTCTACCACGCCAGTCTTGGTCTCCCCGAAGACCGTGTCGGCAATGTGACGATCGCAGTCGGGGACGTGGTGCAAGAAGCAGAGAAAGTTGAGAAGGGGATTAATATCCGGCCGCTGCTGGATATGTGGGCAAATTCGCACCGCATCGAGGCTGGGTTTGGAAGGTACATGCGGGTGAGCTACGTCCCAGAGGTGGATGGTGAGGCGAAGGATTTGTATCGGTTGTTCGGACGCCAAGTCTTGGAGAATCGGAAGTGCTCGGTTATGAATAGAATGTGGCGGAAGGTGCTGAGGGAGGGACAGTTGGCTGCAGTGAGGATTCATAGAAAGCCGAAGGATGGTACGGACCCATTTTTGCACATCCTGTTCAAGCCGGAGTTCGGCCCAGAGTGGATGAGAGGGGATGGCAGAGGGGTACCGGAGAGCTGGTTAGAGCAGTTTGGGTTCGACCAAATGGAGCACTTTGACGTCAAGGTTGGGGTGCTTCCTGTTGCTAGTTGAGACTGGGGAAGAAGGAGGGAGAGGCTTCCTGCTGCAATTTGGATCTCTGGCCCTGGCATACGAAGACATACAGCATACGATATACCATACGACATACTTTACACGACCCTCCCCATCGCTTTTTCCTCTTTCCAGACTTTCCCTATTCGAAAGTACGCTGTAACGGAATTATTTGGTCTAAAATTTCGACGAACCTCAGGTGCACGCTATCTCGGAGCACCTGTAACAATCGTCACTATGGCTGCCAAATTAAGCGATGGGGTACGGGGATTAGCTGGTTACGGATGGAACACGCTGGGGACTAAGTTTGTTCTGGGGGCGGTTTCTGAGGTAAACATGGATGAGCTCGGTTTCTTCAGTTGCGTTCTCGTGCGCGTTCGGTCTAGACGTGTCGTCAGATGTGTTCTGGATTGGTTGGCAAGTAACCAGGCTGGCGTGTCATGCTTGTCTTGCTTCATCTACATCAATGGTGGCAGATTTTCGACAATTGCTTGGCTAACGGATGTACCATCTCCTCTCACTTAACGTCAAAAATAACCGGTGTGGAGTCTGTTTATTAGTCCTCTTGCTGGAATAGAGGAGAGGTCAACAGGATGCAAATTTCTATCCTGAATGATCTTTTGGTGACGTTCTAGAATTAGGCGATGAGATGTAGTAGCTAGGGTGGATGGAGGACAATTGACAAATGGGCAGCGACGTGTGCAGTTGCAGCACTTTTCACGCGAATAACACGAAATAGGAACGGAAGCACGTGCACTGACGTCATCCCTCGCGACCCCTTCACCCTCCATGCCCCCCAACCCAAACACGACCCTCACATCAGAACTCCGTCTTGATTCCCAATCACAGGCTATCAGCCTTCCGCAGTGCGCTTCAAATCCCTATACCTTGAAACCAAACACCATCTCAGCACGCCATCGGCAACACTAGCTAGTGAAACAAGCACGGTCTGACATGCCGTTCGCACTAATCATTCAATTGGGTCTTGAAGAGTTATCCTCGCACTCGTCCTACAATGCCAAATCACAAACTGCGTACCCATATGACCCCTTTCCCCATAATTGCAATTTCTTTGCCTCCCAATTCCAGCTCTATGGCGGCGATTGACCCCAGTCCTTTCGGTCGGGTGTGAGGTCATCGACTAGGGGGTAGTCATCATTAACCCCAAACGTGCAGCTGCTATTTCAAGACTACTACTCCCCAGAGCCTCCACATCCTCGAATCGTCTCTAATTCATTGACACTCGTTCGTTGAAATCTATCCAACGTGTCTCACGAAATGGCACGCCCGAAAAGCATGCCCGATTTCTCCCACCTCCTACTCGCCGACGCGTCAACGCCGTCGCCACACGTCCCGGAAAAGGAGCGTCCGCGAAAAAAACCCAGTATCTCGCTCGCAGCCGGCTTGATCATGGCAAGCGAGAGCCCGCGGTCAGTGCCGAATACGCCGCAGCAGACACAAGGGAAGAATGACGCTACCTGCAGCGACAATTTGTTCTATGCTTATGCCCAGAAGGTGTGTGCATATACGCGTTTGCAAAGGAATGAGTGAACGAGGCTGAATGAATGGAATCAAACTATAGTCCGATTACGCGCAATCTCCACCATTCATCCTTACCTTCTCCTCTGCCTCCATTGCATCCCAATGGTGGGATCTCGTAAAACAAGAATACCCAGAGTCGACGCGCGAGGGCGCACAACTCTTCGTCCTGAAAGGCGACGACATGCAAGAGCAAATCCAGGATAACCCCAAATTCTACAATCTCCGAAATAAATGGTTCTACACGCCCTCCGACGGCACAATGGGGGTTATCCCATTGCAGGACTATCGTGGAAATCCTGTCAGCACTACTACGAGCCCCGCCCCACAGAAAAAGCCCTCGATATCCATCAACGGAGTAGAAGAGCACCAGCAGGAGCAGCATCAGTGCCAGCACCAGCAGCAGGGGTCCCCGGGTTTTGACCTCTCCAAGCTTTCAGACACCCTCGAGAAAATGACCGCAATGATATCATCTAACTCCTCCCAAATCAAAGCTCTCAGTGTCGCACAATCTGAGGGCCTCCAACGCATGCAGGAAATCAACGAATCAAACTCTACCCAGATAAAAGCGTTAGCCGACGGCCAGTTCAAGCTGCAGGCGCTGACGGATCAGAATGCGTCGCATTACATTGCACTGTCGAACTCCTCGTTCCAAAACCAGGAGCAGGTGAAAGACGTCTTGCAGACGAATGCGCAGCAGATTCAAGCGCTGGCGGAGGGTCAGGGTAAACTTGCGGATACGTGTAATGCGATGATGAAGACGATTGAGGATTTGGGCGGGACGGTTGGGAAGGTGGGAGAGACTGTCAGTCAGCTTGGTAATCTTGGTGAAGTAGGTGGCGGGCATGGTAGTAACGGGCGTAGTATTAGTGGAGCTGTATCGGATACATCGAGTTCGGCAGCATTTAGTTCGTCTGGAAACCGGATTTCTCCACCGCCAAGGAAACTGAATAGAAGGATTAAGGGCGTCTGGTATGAGTATGATGCGAGTCCTGTGAGTTCTCCGCGCACGAGCGTGGTGTTAGATACACCACCGAAGTCACCGCCTATGACGAGGACATGATTGGCTATGTGTGGCTTTGTGTATGTACTTTTAGAGTCGGACTTGTATTGAAGGCGTAGGGCTTACTGTATTTGTTTTTGGAGGCTTTTCTTTAGTTGGGATTATGTAAAATATCGGCCACTGTGTATGTCGATAATGTATGTCGATAATGTATGATCCATATTTTCTTATCAAGTCTCCTTCGAGTACTATTTAATTTGCTTCATTTAGCTAACTTTAGATACAACTTCCTCAGTCGCATTGGGTGATTTGTAGAATACTTTCTCTCCGTGGAGCCTAAGAGCAGACTCGTGATCCCATTGCGAAATCTTGTGCCTAGGGCGCTGGAGTAGTACTGCGAACCCCCCAAAATTGCAGAATAACTATGTAATTTCATCGGTCGAATGAAGTCCTGGAGATATCTCTTGATACTGAACTTTTTTCCCCGCCATACTTACATTGCCACTTTAAATTTGGTGCCGAGCAAGTCAGCGATTCATAAACCCATAAATCATACCCGCCCTTTCCCTATCCCAAAAATGCAAATGCTAATGCTAAAGAAGGATAACCACCCTCCATTTCCCTTCCACCTTCTCATTTCTCCTCCATCACCTCCCTCGCTACCTCCTCATCCCCCCTCCTCACCCTCTCCTTCCCCTTAGTCTCAGGCATCTTCTTGCTCAAAACCTCCCTCTTAATCCCCCAACTAACTGCCAACCCGACGGCACTCACAACAGTATAAACCACCCAAGTCCCCCTTAGCGCCATCGTCATCCCTTGTCTCACAACCTCCCTCTGTACCCCCGGCAACTTCGCAACAGCCACCGCCTCTGAAATGGCGTCCCCACCCGCCAGCCTCTCCGCGAAAGCTCGCGGAATACCTACGTCGAGGAAGGAGGGAAGGTGGGTACGCATCAACGCCTGGAAAACAACTTGTCCGACCACAACGCCTATTGCACCGGAAACCATGCGCACGAAGCCAAATGCGGCCGTGCCGGCTGCGATGTCGGATTCCTGGATGCGGGTTTGGAGGGCGATGAGGGGGGCATGGAAATTGGGACCGAAGCCTATTCCAATAACAACCAAAAACCCCAATATCTTGGCCATATCCCTTGTGCTAGCAAACGAGATTAGCAGGCCAACGCCTACGGTCATGAGCGCGAGGCCCGCACGCAGGACTTCGAGATACCGGCCTGTGCGCTCGATGACGATGCCGGCGGATAGCGAGACGATGGCAAGAGGGATGGCGGCGGCGAGCATCCAGAGCCCAGCTTTTGCTGGGGAAGCTGCGAGCACGATTTGGAAGTAGAGAGGGAGGAAGTAGGCAACGGAGTTAAACACTAGCGCATCACAAGCACACACACCCAGTGCGGCCAAATTACTCGTATCGCGGAAGATTCGAAGGGGCATAATCGGTGCGACTGCAGCCCATGTTTTCTTCTCAGCGAGGTATTGAGTAAAGAAGAAAAGAACGTAGGTTAGGAGGCCAAATATTAGGAGGAGGAGGATGGTGGGGGTGGTCCAGGAGGGGGATTGACCGCCTAGTTGAAGGCCGATGAGGAGGAGGATAGTGGCGGTTGTGATGGCGAAGCTGCCGGGCCAGTCGATGGATAGGAGACCAGAGAGAAGAGGTGCGCGGGGGGAGGGGAGGTGGAGAGTAAAGTAGAGTAGGAGGGTAGATAGGGAGACAATGGGGACTGGGAGGAATTAGTTGGGGGAACCAGTGCAAAGGAGTTCAGTGGGTACGGAGGGCTTACTGTTCACATAAAAGCACCACCGCCAATTCAACTTCTGCGCGAATATACCACCGAGGACAGGCCCAAGAGCTGATGCCACTGCCCACGCCGCGCCAACGATTCCGAGGTAAAAGCCTCGATCCCTGCACTCGTATTAGCATCCAATCTATAACCAAACATCCACCATCTAAAGAAGATCTAAACATACCTCATGCTAAACAAATTCGCAACACAAATATGAACCAAGACAACTACGCCTCCACCACCCAGACCCTGCACCACACGTCCTCCGACCAACATCGGCCCACTAATACTCATAGCACAGATCAGACTTCCTCCTAAAAAAATGCTGTTTGCAATCAGGACAATAGGCTTCCGTCCGAAGATATCGGACAGCTTTCCCCAGAAGGGGACGGATGCCGCATTGGCAAGTAGATATGCGGAGCCGATCCATGCGTAGAGAGAGTCCGATATGTGGAAAGAGAGGGAGATAGTTGGGAGTGCTGTGGGGATGAGGACGGTGTCGAGAGCTACGAGGAAAATTGATAAGGTTAGGGAGATGAATGATAGTAGTGTCGTCGTTGGAAGGCGCGAAGGTTGATCCTCTGTAGACGAAGTGTCTGTCGAATCGGTGGTGGATGGTCGGATTTCTTCTTGGGGTGTCTGAAGTGTATTTGATGTTGACGGTGAGGCAGTGTTTGAAAGGGTGATTGGGGTTGCTGAGGTAGCTAGAGAAGTTGGGCGAGAGCCCGAATCCTGAGATCCATTCTGAGAGGGTGCGGTGAGAGTTTGTATGTCAATTGTAGGTGGGCTAGTAGGTTCGGTCATGACGTCTGCTCGAATTCTCACAATGGTCACTTTGAAGAACGGTTGATCCTTCTCTTCTTAAGCATCAACACCTTAGACTCCTTTTGAATAGGTGGCTCGTGTCTTCTTTATAAAAGGAAACGACTAACTGCGCCGCTCGAAAAGAGCAGGGAGACCTTGCCAAAATGTGGAAGATCGCCACTGTGCCCAAATAAATCTCATATAACAAATCTGACCCGCAGATTGACGCAGAGTGGGCGATGCAAACTCTAATCCATCGAGACAATATCGTGCTGTACTGGGATTCAGATGGCTTGCATAGACGCGCATGGACACTTGTTGTATGAGAGTAGTCGGCCCGGCGAGTTAGAAGTTCAGGCTGCGACGCGATGATTTATGCAACCCAGGTTGTCGGATATGATAGAAGATTCCCTAGGCAAGATTCGAGGAGACCGCGCCTATGGGAATTGCTGTGCGGCAATATATTATGTGGTTTTTATTGCGTGGAGAGATCTCTCGTGCAAGCGATTGGTGATTGCGAATCCGGTCTTCGGAGTATCGCTTCCAAGTCGTGCAATCGAGGCCCTCTCGGCTCTACTCAGACATACACATTCACATCGCCAGTTCCAAAGTAGCGACCCTGTTGTGCAACCATCCTCGAGCCTCAAAGTCTTCGTAGTGGAGTCCTGAGGGTCTCGCCAGCGCATCTTTCCGGCTGTCTCCCGCGACAGGCTGAACCCTTGCCTCGCCTGGGGCGTAAAGCGTAGTCTACTGTAGTGCGGCGCGTATGCGGCTTATTGTTAGATTTAGTAATTAATATGTTGCTGTGCATCGTCGGCGGTAAGGATGGATGGCGATTGGGCGCTACGTAGATTGCGCTAGAGAATGAATCCCTGCCATAGGGCTGTGGAAGGTTGCACAGCGTAGAAGGATGTTTGGAGTTCTTCAATGAGAGCTGAGAATTGGTACAAAATTCGCAGTGGATGAAGTATGGATATTGGCTGTCGAGTTTATTGTGTGCTTAGTTTTTACTGCCGTTCGATAGTATGGAAAGCTCCATCGATGGAGCCAAGGGTGAATGAATACTTCAAACCTACACGTCTGATAAAATCTATAATAACCCACCAAGATCGATTATCATGTTTCGGAAGTGCAGTGTTCCCAAGGGTCCAGAAGGCTTGCTTAATGTCGTCGCCTTCGAGTACCCGAGGCGACGGCTCTTTTTACCAACTTCAATTGTGGCTGCATCACAGCGACAGTTTCCCCACAAGTTTCCCAGCTGGCGGCGACTTGCATTTTCTAGCCTAGCAAAAACCACGAGCGCTTGAAGATAGGGCGTGTTTTATAGGACAGGGAGACATGGAGGAGAGAAGTTTGGGTAGAGATTGAGGAATCTTGATATGTAAAGAGATCTGAATTGAGATGAGACGAGAACTGGAGTATGGAGAAGGGGGGTGGAGGAGAAGGATTCTAGCTCTAGCCTTCGTCGGAGATCCCGCATACAGGTTAGTACTATGTAATCAGCCACCCACTCTATCAACTCCGCGCAGCAAAGGTCTGATTTATTGCCTCACTGAACGTCCTCGATGACCCATTCAGAGATGCAGGGAAAAGCAGTTAGTTGACACATGTAATATCAGCAATCTCTATAACGTGGCAGTATAACGTCAACAAAAAGCAATCAGTCCGAATGGTACTTCCAAACTGGTCGGCAAGATTTTCGTATTCCATCGTACGGGTGCACGGACACGTATCAGGCTGAGACGGGGCGAGGGGAAATGTGCGAACAGGCGACGAACTCGTGGTCAGGTCTTACGTGGTCGCAATGTCTCACATCGTAGCAGTCGATCTTGCTTGTAAAGTCCCTCCATCGCGAAGTTCAGTGGGCCTTGGCTAATGCGGGGCGAGATGGATTGGGGAGAGGTGCGTGCGGGGACTGGTGAAAGTGGTGCAAGAGGAGCAGCCAACGCAAGGTATGGGCCGACCCTAATACCATAGCCAAGTGCTCGGGACATATTAGCGGTGTGTCATTGATAAAGGATCAGATTGAGGCGGATTCTTTAACGGCGATTCCCGAGAAGACATCAAGGGACACATGTTAATGGAAAAATCTTCGTAGGCCTTCGGGAGTTCTGAAACGAGTTATTCGAGCGACACAACTTCGGAATGAACATCCGAGATCGAGCCTAAATTCTTGGGATGGGTATTGACGAAGTAAAATGATGAGCGTGGAAATTTCGCGATGGTGCTGATGGATCTCTGGGAAGGCCACCCAAGCCGATCTGATCGTAATTTCGTTGGTCCGTGCTTATTCTGCAGCTTCAGGTTCAAAGTTGTCTCCACTTTCCTCAACTCATCATCAATACGCCCCGAAAATTTCTGCCCGGCAATTCAACTTCTTTCTAGGCAACCGGGGAGACTCTAGTGCCGTCTTTTCTCTTGCTTGCTCCGGATCATTGCCGAACTTGTTGGTCTACCGTTCTAGACTGCTTCGCTGATGGAAAATGTAATTTCGAGTGCAGGTAGGGATGACGGTACTGATGGTGCTTAGGGTCATGTCTTGCCTACAAGGCAGAGTATTCCTCTTAGTCTTCTCTTAATTTCTCTTAACCTTTCCTAAACACCCTTCTTCTCATTTGTCCGCCTAGTTGCCGATCCCCGAGTCTTCAATTCGTCACGCGATTGGCTACTTCAAAAAAATAATTCTGGCGCGCCACCGACGATTTTTTTATTACATAAAGCATTGCGCAAAGATACAAGCGAGCGACTCTGCTATGCAAGCGAGGAGAAGATCCCTATGTCCCCGATGAAGAAGGGAGCGTCCTCCGTCTCCATCATACCGACCACAACAAACCCCCCTACACTCATACATTACATTTACTCCTCCACCTCCTCAGATTTAGGACAGGCGAGCGAACAGCTAATACACTTCTTCGGACCGGAGCACTATTCGGAACACGTTAAAAGACTGTATACACCCATGTATAAGAGAGCAACAGGAACGTACCCATTTCTGGCCCTTAGGACAGTGAACACCAGCCTGATCGCAAGCTTGATCGGCTCGTGTTACCAGAATCTCTTCTTTAGGGCAGATGAGAGAGCAGCTAATACATTTCTTGGGACCGGCGCACTGACCACAGATATCAGCATCAAAGCCCTGGCTTACTAGAACAGCTGATGGCAATGGTAAGAAGACGTACCCACTTCTGCCCCTTTGGGCAGTGGACTCCAGCTTTGTCACAAGCCTGAGCAGCGTCTTCCGCCCTTGCTACGAGACCAGCGTCTTCGGCCTCGTCAGTGCGAGGGCAGGCAAGAGAGCAGCTGACACATTTCTTTGGGCCGGCACACTAACCACCATTCAATCAGCGAAAGAAGACAAGAATACTAGATACAAAGGAGGAGAAAGGAAGCGTACCCATTTCTGTCCCTTAGGGCAATGGACGCCCGCCTTGCCGCATGCCAGATCATCTCTCGTCACCAGGATATCTGCCTTGGGGCAAATCAGAGAGCAGCTGATGCATTTCTTGGGCCCAGCGCACTGCGAGAGGGGGTCAGTGGGTGTTCTAATGTCATAACAGAGAGTGCCTTAGGATGAATAGAGATGGAAGACGTGCCCATTTCTGACCCTTAGGGCAGTGCACTCCGGCTTTTTCGCAGGCGAGATCGGCCCGAGTCACCAGACTGCCGTCTGGAGCGGCATCAGGCTCTGCATTAGGAGCGGCAATTGAGGCGACCGCGAAGAAGGCGGATACGATGATGAATGCGCGCATGACGTATGATTGGAGAAAGAGGGTTGAAAAGTGCAGTTGCTGAAATGTGGTGAGTTATTCCAAGTGATATCTGCCGTTGTCTGGGGCCTGCCATCAACAGGATTTAGTTGAATATTTATATTTTCTAGCTCGTGATATTGAACTTCTCTTCATAGCTTCGTTGAAACTAAGGCGTTCAGCTTCTCACCACGTATAGTTCGACCGTAAGCCGATGACTTCAAAGTTTAGCCAAGGCGTCCAAGTGTAACATATCCTCCGAAGATTTTCTGTTTCGCATTATCATTTTTTTTGTGGAGCAACGAGGTTTTGGGATGGGCTTACCTGGTCATCTAAATTAATTTCTCGCTTCATGAAGAGAGAACCGGGATATGTTAATAAATAAGGGTTATAACATGCGGAAAGCAAGTACGAAAGAAACTAGTCTGCATTTTGTGTAATATGTATTTGAAATTTAAATCTAGCTTCCGAAACGGGGGCTGTCCTTGTGGTGAAAGTCGTCGTAGATTCGTACGTGCTGCATACCATAGTAGGACACCGTGATGCAGGGGAAAGAAAAACCGGTGGAGTAGGATGAGCTGCGTCTTGATTTGCAATCTCATCAACTCTGGACATGAACTGTTATGAAAAAGGACCAAAAATGGGTTCTGTCGACTCCCGGAAACCAGAGCTTCAGAGGTCGCCTTGTAGTCCATTTGCTCTAACAAGCGTCGAACCAAGACAAGAGGCCGTTCTGCATGTACGCCAGGCGTATATACGCCTCAAAGTCTCATATCTTCCAATGCTTTCCATCGAATCCCCCTCTAGCCGTACCAGTGCGGAAGTCGCGAAAGCCAAAAGTTCATTGGCAGACTCATTCAACTTCAGATTACTGTTGTTCTCTGACATGCGCCGAGCAATGACTTTGGTGCGCCTAGTGATCTGCGGCACAGAGTAGAGATGTAAGATAGTAAACTCGACTCGGCCATCTACCGAGTTCATGAATATTTCCTCTTCATTTTCGAATGAGGTATCCGAGCAGCCTTGCAGATTGCAGAGATTTAGCTCCCTCTACGGTATCGCTTCTGAATTATTCCCTTCGATTAAGATTGCAAGCTCTTTTTCCTCAATCTTTAAGTGCTACCGTTCCCCATAACTAGAAGTCTCTCTGATCCCAAACCATGTGGCGATTACACCCCAGTTCCATATCCCAGTTTGTCCTGCAGGCACGCTCTTTTTGGAAAACACTCCATGGATATGGCAGTCCCAGATATCAGCCCATATCTCTCCCGTTCTCATTGTCACGCGGTAAACCGTAAAGGTTGTGCATGAAATTTGGGCCGGCGGTAAAGGTCCGTTCGGTATTTCGCAAGTCGCATTCAGAGCACTTGATGAAGCTCCATCACATTGACTTCTTCGACATTTGAGCAGATGCCCAAACCTGGATAATCTAATGTACTAACTTTGGAGAGGGTTCCACAAATCCGACATATCTCTTACCGGTCAAGGGCCGCTCCGCGAAGCGGTAAAAGTACTCGGTACAGCTTCTGTACTCTGAAATGACTACCAACGTACCTATTTTTCTGCATAAGCCTTTCCGGGGTGGCAAGAGCTACCGATCTTGCTAGGTTAAATGTTGGAAAGTCTTGCCTTCGAAAAATGTTGTGGACCCCTCGACTCGCATGCTGTAAAATGTCATAGGTAAAGCCTGTCAAAGAATCTAATATATCCCTCCTTGGCGATGCAAAGCGGCTCAGTTCAGCTCTCTGATACTGGAGTTTTATGCATTCCCACCCGGGCCCGCCCCAACCAGCGGTGTAGCATTTCGCGCCGCAGCAGAGTGTTTGCTTGGGCATGGTATCTTCATATATGGGAGCCACCAGGCAGCCAATGCATCTATTCCTCAATGGTGATCCACAGTTTGCACAGGGTCCTGGTGGCATGATCAGTCGTCATTCCGGAAGCCATCCTGTGGGAAGTTAGCGCAGAATCGCGTGGTCAGAGCGGGGATAAGGGAGATGGAGTGGCACAACCAGTAGGAGGACGTTGGAGTTGGAAACGTTTGTCGCTATGCAGCTGTGTAACTCGATATGCATAACAGTCAACATAGGCTAGCGTGGTTTGGCGCGAGCCGTCGATATCGAGCCATATTTTTCTTATATAAAAATCGGACATACTACAACAGGGACCTTCCTTGAATACTATTTAATATCTTTTCCATGGCCAGTGATCTCACTGCGCCATTTGCGAGGTGTTTTGTTTTTAGGCACGTGGCGAGATCTGTCGCATACCACTCCTAGCGCCTCATTCACTGCCTAGGAAGCTTTCTTCTCTGAGCTGAAGCCATTCTCCCTACCTTATCCCTTCTATAATTTGCCCTTTAGGGCCTTTAATTCCGGAATTCCAATAAGTCACGTGACAAAGTTCGAACTTCAGTGAATCAATGGATGCGGGCCCTACTGACCAAGAATCATACCTTCGGCCGAAGCAATCTTTGAATCCAATCTGAGCCAAATTTACCCCTACCTGAATAGTTGCGCTGTGCTCGATGTGCACGGGCTTCCGGTTTGTGTCTTTCATCCCCGTCGACATCACTCATCACGTCATCCCAAATGGAACGCCTTCACGCACCCTTCAATCTTCGCCTTTTAATTTGAACGATTATTCTGCATCGCTGAGTAGCTCCCAAGGCTCGGATGTCGTTCGGTCCATCCCCTTCGCCCTCCACTCGATCGACAAAAGTGATTACTTATCACAGAACATTTTTGCCGAGGGAAGGTACGGTACGAGCAACGGCAGTCATTTCCACGCCCTACACCTGGGGTTAACATGCGTGTGCTTCTCACTGTCAATAATTTAGCGATGAGTGATCCTATGGCGACATCTACACGAAGCTCTAGTCAAGCGTTCGTTTGTCACTTCGGCCGGAAGGTTCAGTATGGGGGCTGAATGATTTAGGAGAGGAGGTGGTGGGAATGAAGGAGGATTCAACCTACAACATTTTGCCAAATGGGTACATAAGTTGCCCTTGCTCATATTCTCTCAATTCTTTTCCACCCTCTTAGCGGCCACATTTTGTTTGTTATTTTCATCCTTTCTACCCTCTAGATACCTCAGCGATATCGGTTACAAAATACTCGATCTCGCACACTTACTAACGAACTAATATCTCTTTCCCATTCCTTGAGGAGATGGTAGACCCCGAGGCCTCCTCCATGAGCGACACCGAGAAGAGACATGCTCTGAAAGAGCTTGAGGAGGCCCCATTACCCTCCCGTGTACGATCCCGCACGGATTCAAGCATTACGCCAAATGACCAAGACGAAGAAAAGAACGATGGTCAGAAGGAAGGAGATGTTGAGCCTCAGCATATCAGTGTTGAAGACTGGAACGGGCCCAATGACCCAGAAAATCCCCACAACTGGCCTCTTTGGCTTCGGATGTATCATTGCGTAACCCCTGGTCTTCTTGGTTTCGCCGTGTATGTCTTCAAGTACCTCTAAAATTATGTTCTCCATAATTATTAACCCTATACAGCACATTTGGAACCTCAGTCTACACCCCGGCTCTTTCAGACATCATGAATGACTTCCACGTCTCCCGGACCGCAGCCATCGTTCCTCTCACAGTTTATACTCTCGGCCTCGCCTTCGGGCCTGTAGTCTCCGCCCCGCTTTCCGAGACGTACGGGCGTAAGATTGTCTACCTTATCTCCTTCGCCGTATTCATGCTCTTCACTCTCGGAGCCGGGTTCTCGCAAAGCTTTGCTGCGCTGATCGTGTGTCGGTTCTTCGCTGGCTTTACCGGAGGACCCGTTCTTGCGGTGGGAGGAGGTACCAACGCGGATGTGTTTCCACCAAGGCAGAGAGCCATTGTCACGTCTGTGTTTCTTATGTCGCCCTTTGCGGGCCCCGCACTGGGGTAAATACAATCTCGTTGACCACCATATTCACAGCTTACATTCTTTAGGCCCTTCATCGGTGGCTTTGCTGCCCAACACAAAGGGTGGCGTTGGACCCAGTGGTGCATGCTCTTCATATCCGTGTTCACCTACATAATCGCCATCCCAATGAAGGAAACATACAAGAAAATCATCTTGAAACGGCGAGCGAAGGAACTCGGAATGAACCCTCTGGACCGCACTGTCACGGGTGCTTCAGCCGTTAAGTCAGCGTTCATCCAAAACTTCCTTCGACCACTGCATATGCTAGTCACTGAAGTATGTGAACCTCACTCCTGTAAAGGATAATGAAAAACTTTATACTAATATCTGCTGTCAAATAGCCGATCGTGTTTTTCTTATCGCTATACACGGCCTTCGCCTTCGGTGTCCTGTTTATCTTCTTTGCCGCTTTCCCCTACACCTTCCAACGACCGCCCTATAACTTCACTATTTCCCAAACCGGTCTAACATTCCTGGCAATTGGTCTCGGAGTTCTCATAGCTGGTATCACGGGTATCTTTGTTGACCGCAAACTATATCAACACCAATTCAGACAAGCACTCGAAAGAGGAGAGTCGCACGCACTGCCAGAGCATAGGCTTTATAGCTCCATGATTGGTAGCTTCGGGCTCCCTATTGGGCTTTTTTGGTTTGCGTGGTCCGCGGATAGGGGGTGTCACTGGGCAGTGCCGGTTGTGGCAGCTATCCCGTTTGCGTGGGGGAATTTGTGTATTTTCGTAAGTGGCCTTTTCTTCTTGGTGGCTATTGGTGTCACCCAAATGACGATAAATTGATGCTGATACCGTTTCCCGTCTAGATATCCTCAGCTCTATATATCGTCGACGTTTATGGCCCTCAGAACGGTGCATCCGCGGTTGCTGCAAATGGTATCTTCAGATACACTCTGGGTGCTGTCTTTCCTCTCTTTACGATACAAAGTAAGTTAACCCTTGTCCTCCTGTTCCTACAACCCCCCCACCCCCCGTCACTTTAAATCGAAACCCTCGTTCAACCGCTCCATTGAACCCTAGAATAACCTATCTAACGCACAATAGTGTACTCCGGTCTCGGAATTGGCTGGGCCACCTCGCTCCTCGGCTTCATCTCCGTCCTCATGCTTCCAATTCCCTGGGTATTCTACGAATGGGGCCCTGCGATTCGCAAGAGAAGTCGGTATCCCGTGATGATGTGAAAGAGTATCAAGTCCAGTCGACGAGCTCGAGAGAATTTAGGGGCTGATGTTAGGTAATAGATCTTGAATTTGAGTGTGGTAATATTTTGCGAAAGAAATCGTTTGGCTTAGAAAGAGGGGATGAAATGGAATAGAGAAAGCTAGGATCGGAGTCTGTATGTTAAATGCATGGGAATGTATGCTTGCACTTAAATTTAAAATGTTGTATTTCAGATGCTGAATATGAATCAGGATTTTCTTAGAACCTGCTACTACATTATGTGTCCACCTTAAGCTTCATACTTTCGATGCGTTTGTTTTTAAAGATCGTTATTCTGTGCTTGCACAATGCCTCATTGCCTCCGGGCGTTCACCCCTACGAACACAAGTAGCACAGCAGAAAAGCCTATTCTCATTACAACAATGGATAGCGACAATTTCGTAAACGCCGCAATCGTTACACTGAAGAATTTCTGGGTTTTCTAGACACCAATCAGCGATGCAAGCATTCCAATTCCAACCAATCCCCTCCGCACGTCCCACTAACATCCTTAATTCCAGTTATCAAGCCGTGGTCCCTCAACCCACTCCCCCCTTGGCGATTGCGACCTCGATACAGTATCTAACGAGACCCCTGCGTCACTAGTCAAGACAGCACCAATATTGCACACGCTTGGAGGCACTGCCGTTATTTGACTCTCTCTCGCCCTAGTTCTCAAAAGGTAGGCCATCCGCTCTTCCTTCCGAAGCAGAGAACGCAAGACTCGTCGCCGAAAGGTTTGGTAATTTGCGCATAACTACCATAAATCGGAGTTTCAGCATCCAGGATCTTGAAGCTGGACACTACTCAACCCGCAATATATCGCGAATGCTTCGCAGATCAAAAGGCTCAGATCACTCACCGTCAACGCAAAAATGTTGTCTTGTAGATTACCAACATGGGAAACCAGCTACACTCTCACTCCCTCTATGTCGCAGGCCCTGTAGGCCGAGGCCCATGCAAGGAATCTAGTTCTCCATCTTCGGAGTAAGCCCTTTCAAAATCGGCGACGTGATCGAAGAATGGTTTAACCACAAGCTGTCTGTCTGTAAGCTCTTCCGCCAAGGCCCAGACTCTTTTTTCCGTTCGCGTTCGAGCGCTTCCTATTCTCGCACCAGGACATTTCGGCTCCGAACATTACTGTAACTTCGCTGGGCCAAGCGGAGCCCACGATGCCTGCGTGGTGGCCTAAAGAGCCGACGCTGGAGGCGAATATGCACACACATTTTCTCCCAGCCTCGGTCAGATTCCAGGCCGCTTGCGGGCATTAATAGTGGGACTAGTGAAAGAGGAACATAGGGATGGATCTTACCATTGATTCGGCTGAAGTTGTTTCAAGTTATGACGAAGAGCCTTCGCTCTTCGCTCAGGGTCATATATTTAGAGGTTTTGTTTCTACAAGTAACAACGAAAAAAAGCCTCTAAGCTAAGAATCTTACACGCACCTGTAACAACATCCTCCCGCGTAGAACTCTCCCTTCGTGCCCACATAGCCTTGGATGCAAAAACTCCTGGCCTGGCTTTCTAGATCCCTAGTACAACCGCATCCGCATTCCCGCCCCTGGTTTCTGCTCACTCCCGCGGTTTCCTATTAACTTGACTAGGTAGAACCGCGCTTCTTGTAACGAATTGTATCTGTCCTCGTGTTTCCCTATCTCGGTAAGGCCTGTGGTGTTGGGCGCGGCGGAGGATACTACGGTATCGGCAGTGTTGGAGGTTAGGAACAGGATACTCCTACCTATCTAAAAATCGCGGGTTGGAGACATTAATTTGTTTCTGTTTCTCTACCGTGTGATGTTGGCCGCGGAGGCGGATTATACGGGATCGGGTAAGTTGGGGGATTGAGGAGGGGATACAGCTGCTGCGCTCATGAGCACGAGGAGATGAAGTGGTGCTAGTGCATGTACTATTGTTGGCGCAAGAGGGGGGATTAGTGTAAGCGTTAGGGCGAGCGCTGCGTGGAGGACAGGGCATTTTAGATGTTGATTTCTCTGAACTGAGAGTACTGCTCTGGTGAGGGCCCGGAGAGTATTGGATTGTGGGCTGTGAGATGTATGTGTATATGTCTTGGATTTTTTCTGGGTACACGAGAAATAGTAACGTGTGTGTTCGTGAGCTGTGAGGCTGGGGTGGAGTTGAAAGGGATACAGAGAAGGATTATGTGAGAGTGCAAGCACTTGCTAAGACATTTATGCTAAGAAGGTGGAATGCTGTCGTAGAATGTAGTACTAGTAATGCCAGCTATATAAAAACGCTAAGCGGTATGATGGACAGAGCATCACTCTGTCCTAGTGTCAATAACGTCGTAACATCCAGATGTTAGCGAGTAACTGAATATGGACGGAAGCCCGTATAGACTTACCACCACTTAGCGATTTCAAAAGCCTTGTTGGGTGGAATGGATCTGTCATCTTGTGACATGACAACGTAGCAACGCATCGATGTTTCGTGGCGGTTAGCCACAAGTGGGAATCATGCGGTATCCTATTCACTACCTGAGCGTCCGGCTTTGGCTACTCTGTTTATGGGCATATGGGTTCAGATCAATAGATCTTTATGGTATTTTATTGAAATACGCAAAATACTGCAGGAATCGTCGTGCTGAAACCCGACCTAGGTTCCCAGTATTCATCACCGTGCATGCTGGCCAATTTCACATTTTGCACTCCTTTTCTCATCTCTACTCTGCGTAAACTCCGACCCGACATCATAACATGCTTCCCCAATACCACAAATCTCGGTGGATTGGAATGAACTCATGTCGCACCCAATCATCCCTCCAGCCCTCTTAACCACAAAGTCCGCATACTCTCATTGCTTCAAGTTCAATGACTCTTTTCCTTACCAGCTCTGGTGCATGATAAATACTTCTAAGAGAGCCCTCAGTTAAAACACAACGCTTCCTCAACGGATCAACCCAACTCTTTTACCATCCTCTCTCTCCACCCAGGACCCCACCTTTTCATTGCCATAATAACCGCAATCCCACTGAGCAGACTCCACAACCCTAAGATAGTACAAAGCCACCCATTCCCAATGGCATGAATAATCGGCTCCGCAACAACAGCCCCAGTAAACGAAAAGATATTCCTCACGAAATTATTAATCGCAATCCCGGCACTCGCCCTCCTCGGCATAAACTCTGTCAGCATTGTCGTACTTAACGAAAATATCAACATACTCCCGACTCCAAAGAAAAAATTCGCAATCATCGGCGCCAACCAGAAAACTCCGTTTTCTACACTCCAACCATACCACATTAGCGCCCCGGGCCATAGGATCGCCGCCATCCATGCATTCTCCCTCATCCTATCCTCCGGCCTAAAGATAAGTTTTCCAGACTCGTCGTAGCGCCCGGCCTTTCTTGCTTCGCGGTGCATTATCCGGTCGATCCAGCGGCCGCCTAGGATGGAGGCAAGGAGGTAGCCAATGGAGCTAGGGATGTAGAGCAAGCCAAGCACGAGCGTGCTGAAGGCGTATGGGGGCGCGGAGAAGGTGGCCTGGATGGAAATGTTGAGGAAATAGAGAGAGCCGAAGGTTATGCTGGCGTAGTAGACGGTGAGGGCAACCGGCGGGAAGCGAAGCCAGGTCAGAACGTAGAGTGGGTCGAGGAAGATGCGACGCAGGGTTGAGAGGTAGGTACGGGATTTGAGGGCTACGGATTGGCGGGTTGAGGCGCGAGAGAGCCCTGGACGGGTGGTTTTATTGGAGCAGGCGGGGGTGAGAACGGGCTCGGTGGTGACAGGAAGGGGTTTGATGTCGTTTGTGCGAAGCGTTTCAGGGAGTGCGAACAGGATCAGGAGGAAAGTTATCCCGCCGTAGACAACGAGAAACCATTGCGTGCTTCGCCAGCCGAATTCTTGGGCCAGCACACCGCCGATAATGGGGGCGAAGAGTGGCCCACAGAGAGGCCCGAGGTAAAAAAGTCCCATTGCTCTCCCTCGTTCCTTTACTTCCCAGATATCTGCAATCGTTCCTGCTCCTACTGCCTGGACTGATGCTGCTGCGCCGCCAGAAAAGGTCCGCATGACAACCAGCATTGCGATATTCGTCGAAATGGCGGATAGGATGGCGAAAAGGACGAATAGTGCGAAGGAGATGATGTATATCGTTCTCCTCCCCGCGGTCTCAGAAAAAGAAGACCACCACAGCGGAAATATGGACATGGCTAGCATATAAACAGCCACGCTCATATTCGCCACAGTATGGTTCGCATGAAATTCCTTCGCAATTTCCTGCAAGACCGGCATGACAATCGCAGACCCCATTGGGGCAGCCATCCCGCAGAAAGCCACGATAACGGTGAGAAACCATTTCGTCTTTCTAGCATAGTAGTAGGGGTTCTCGACTTCTGGAATAAGGGTCAGGCGGGTGAACATGCCTCTTCGATCCCGACGCTCCACGATCACGGCTTCTGGGATGATGGATGTTGTTCTTGATCGTGTTGATGGTGGTTGAGGCAGTGCTTCTGGCGGGTGATCGTGCTGCGAGACGGTGGATGGACGGGAAGGTGCGATTGATATTTCGTCGTCCTTGGCAGAAGATATAATATCCATCTCTTTCCCCGCAGTGAGACCCTCTATCGACGGATCTGAGGCCTTGGGGGGGTGGTGAGGGCGGAATGTAGACACCGGTGGTGTTTTCTCTGGGTCTGCCATTGTCTTCTATCTCTGTTTTTCGGGGTGTTTTGGACTCGGGATGCTTCGATCGATGACTGGACTGAAGTTTGAGAATTTCGAAGGAAGTCTCTCCAACAAATGCACTTTTCCGAAGTCGGAAATGCAGTACACCCGTATATTCCCAACAACCTCGGCCGAAATGTCAAGTGCGGTCTTTCGAACTCTCACACAGCAAATATTCCACAGACGCCCTGCTCTTTAAAACTTATTCCAGTCAATCGTTTTCTCTGCTTATACTAGCTCTCATAAAACACAAGATATCGCGAGTCAGCAGAAGTGAAGGAAATCTTAGGCGCAGCATCGTCATGGCTAGAAGCAGCAAGAGACAGCACCCTTGTAGTAAATGTCAGTTATGTGATGCCGGCGGGTGGGTCACGCCAATCTCGTTCACGCATCTGGTGCCGGATTGCCGAGACGGCTGGACCGAGAGTCACAGCAGAAGAGAAGGGATTTTCTGCCTCCATACACCGCCGCGGAACGGCACCGCTTGGGCTCTTTCCCGGACCATGGCGGGGTCGTTCGCGGGGTAGACCTGCGTGCGGAGATTATTTCCGGGGCTCTGATCGATGTCTTAAATACAAGCTATGGATTTGGGGTCTGGGATACTTGGCCTTAGACTTTCACCATGAAGTCTCTCTTGAAGCCGGATAGGTTAAAATGTGAGGCTGGTGATGTTCTGTGTCCTGACTCAACTTACTCCCGGCTTTGCATACGCTGTGCTTATCGTCGGCTCTGACTAATCTATGACGCTGCCAGATTCCGCAAACCTAATTCGCGGGACCTTCAGTTTTTTTATGGACAAACCAGGAACTGAGGGGCGGCTCGACTGACGGTAAACTGGTTGATGGAAAGTTTTGCAGGGCAGGCTTCAGATTGTTTCAGAGACATCGGTCTTTACAGCTGAGGGGGAGGGATAATCAGATATCGGTTGCTTTTTCTTGATTAGTCTTGTGCCACAGTCGGTACGCACACAAGCCGCGCAAAACCTTACAGCTTGTCCAGGCCAAATTTTATAATCAAGGCGAGAGCCGACCAGCGTCTTCAAATGCTCCATTGACCCCGATCCAAACCTCACCCAGCAGCACTGGTCAATCCCTTCCACCTGTGCTACGCACGGTCCCTGAAGCTACCTTTCCCCCAAACCCCTCTCATTCGTCTGTATCTCCCCTCAAGCTTATCCACAATGCCTGACGACCCCTCCACCGATCCTTCATCCGCCAAACCCTCTGCATCACAAAACCAGGATCGTCTCCGTGCACATTTCGCAAACCACGAAGCGTCCGCACACCCCAGCCGCTGGGACGACTTATGGAAAGAAGGCACATTCCTCCCTTGGGACCGCGGCCTCGCTAACCCCGCACTCATCGATGCTCTCAGGGAAAAGTGCGAACTGCTTGGTGCACCAACAAGCACCGATGGCAATGGCGAGAGAAAACGCGCGCTCGTCCCAGGGTGCGGGAAAGGCTATGATGTAGCATTGCTGGCGGCGGCGGGGTATGATGCGTACGGGATTGAGATCTCGGAGAGTGCGGCAGGGGTGTGCAGGGAGTGGTTAAGGGAGCCGGGAGAGGGGAAGGAGGGAGAGTATAAAGTTTGGGATGAGAAGGTGGGGAAGGGCAAGATGAAGTGTGTTCTGGGAGACTTCTTCGAGGATGCGTGGGTAGAGGAGGCTGGGGGTTTGAGGGAGGGGTTTGATTTGATATATGATAATACGGTGAGTTGAATGTGTGATTTCGGGAACTGACGGATGGGGAGTTGGATTTGGATTGTATGCTGACTGGTGCGAGCTAGTTCCTATGTGCACTCCCGCCCTCACTGCGCGCGGCCTGGGCGCTTCGTATGAGCCGGCTTCTAGCACCGACCGGCGTGCTCATCTGCCTTGAGTTTCCGACGCACAAACCTCCGACCTCGGGCGGGCCGCCGTGGGCGGTGACGTCTGGTGTATATGTAGAGTTGTTCAAGCGGCCGGGAGAGGAGATAAATTATGACGACGCTGGCAAATTGGTACCTCAAGATAAGGAGGAGAGTGATACAGCGTTGGTGCGGGCTGGGTATTGGAAGCCAGCGAGGACGCATCAGGTTGGGATTGTGAATGGCGAGGTCAAGGATTGCGTGAGTGTCTGGAAGCATAAGGGGTAGCACGGAGCAATCGCTAGCCCCATGAAACTGCCCGAAGAAGTTCAAGCCGTCCTCCTGCGAGTGCGTCTTTCAAGGTGCCTTCCGCAAGGAATTGTAATGCTCGCCTAGCCCAAATCCATGTCGATAGTACCCCAGCCAGATCTCCTTCCCCTCTTCAATGGCGCTCTTCTCTCCAGTTTCGATTTTATCCACTCTTCCATCCCCGTGCAGCACGTTAATGTTAACACCATATGTATTCGCCAGCGCCATCAATTCCATGTGCCCACCCCACTCGCCAGTATCCCGAACCTTCTGCAGGTAGTCATCGAACGGCTCTTCCATAAATGGCACAAAGCCGTCCGGGTTCTGCTCGATGAAATTGGCAGCCGCGTATCGAACCACTTTGTAAGGCGGGAATGTCTCTTCTCCGATAAAACTGGGCTGCATCTTAGGCTTCAAGCCCAACCCCACAGTCTCCATCTGGTCTGCAATCGCGGCGTACAAGCAGTGACCGTCGGCTCGTATGGTCTTCTCCCGCAGGCTGTGTTTTTCGAGGTGTTTCTGCATGCGCGTGCGTTCCTGCTCTCGGAGGTTGGGCATGTTGGCAGCTTCTTCGGCGGCTTTGGCCGCTAGGACTTCTTGCTCAGCGGCGCGGCGGGCGAGGCGGGCTTTTGCGCGATTGGGTTTCCTTGGCTCGTTTTGTGATTGCGATTCCGATTGCGATTGCGACTGCGATTGAGCTTGGGGTTGAGGTTGCACTGCACCCTTCAGCTGTCCTGACGATAGCGACACGTTCTTCATTGCCTGCTCGACACCATTTGTTCTCGCGGCCTCGTCGTTCGCGGCCTCGTCCGCAGCCTCCTGCAGATTTTCTTCCCCATGCATCACCAGCTCTTCCGCCGGATCATCCCCATTTAGCACTGCTAGTTCTTGTGCCTGTCGCTCCTCCATCTCCTGCTCGAGGCGCGAGCACTCCTCATTCACACCTTTCCGTGTCTTCTTGGTCGCTGACTTCTTTTTCTGGGTGATGCGGGCAACGAGGTCACGCTGCTCTGTACGGTGACGGGATTGCAGCGCTTCGAGAGTTTCGGCGTGGCCGGGAGTATCCATTCTGTGCAGAAATCGTGAGGGAGGAGGATCTATCCTACGAAGGTATTAAGTATTCGGTGGCCAGATTTGAGGCTTGCATCGGAATTGAAATCGTAAACGCCGACGTCCACTTAATGAAGGTCCGTGCATGAGACTCTCTATCCCCGTGACCCTCAGTGCCCCTCAACACCCCTCAATGCCAACACGATCGTGTAGTCATTCTTGCCATTGCTCCCCTTCTCAGCGCTATAGGTTGACCCCTCCACGTATCGTGAAAACCTGAACATCACTACTCTACCGTATAGCGCGTAGTATCATGCCACTTGGATCCGCTTGCTTCTGCCTGTAAGGATAGTAGGTCTTTGCAGCAGCGGTATGGATTTCTTGGGTGACAAAGATCCAACACTTTCCCTCTTTATCGCTCGCACTGCGAAGTCATTTCTTCATAGCGAATGTCGTGATTTGGCGGTCAAACAGTCGCATCGAAGCCCATGGTCTTAGCAGGGAGGCCATTGCCTCAAATAAAAAATACCCACCACTAAATATGTCTTCGTAGTGGCCCTCGTGCCCTCATCACCGCCTATTACATGAGTGAGTTTCTCCACTTTTCCAGCTCTCTCGTTGCTGGGACGCAAGGTCGCTCTTTCCTATCCGTCCACAACCTTCAACCATTATCTTCCCCCAACCCTAAACTTCTCACCTCTTTCTCTATCCTAGTTGTCACCATGGACCGCGGCTTCGACCAACTGCACCATGGTACACTGTTTGGGTCAGAGCACTCTCTGCAAAATTATCCCTTACATAACCACGGAGATACCTCTCCTTCAATGCCACGTCTGCCGCCATTCGACTTCCTGGAACGTCCAGAGCTTGACCTACCTGCCCAATTACAGGACCCTCAAGCGCATCGTCGGCAAAATTTAACTGGAAGTATGAAATCACCTGCTAAGGGTCACGAGGGTCCTGACCCTGTAGACACTGACGAGGAATGGGAGAACTTGCACCGAGACAGCTTTCCCTTTTCCGCCTACACCGACTACCTCTACGGCAGTGATGCTAGATCTCTGTCTCTTGAAAACGAATATCCAGCTCACATAGTCCCCAATCAAGTTGACATGTACTCCCAATCCAAGGCCACTCCTGACTCACGCGTTTGGGTTGCACCAGAAGAACGGTGGTGGGCTCAACAACAACTCGAGGCTAGCATGAGCGCAGCTGCACCTTTTCCTGAACTTTCTTCATTGCAGGCTCTTGAACATCCCTCATTTCGGCCTCCTCTTCCTGAATACCCGACATTCACTCCTCCTAACATGGGCAACCAGATGCAAATAGATCCTTCCTTCAATCCCCAATCTCAGTCTAGCCAATTCTTAAAGAATTTCCGATCCATGGTGTCGAGTCAGAATGGCAACAACTATGCGAATTCACCTGCCTCGGGATTACAGGTGGGGCACCAGGACCCGCATCTCCAGTTTAGCTGTCAGAATAACGAGCACCAAACCGTGCGATCTCATATAGCTTGCAGTAATTATCCAACCCCTGCATCCTGCGCTTCACCATATCAACTGCCCCCCACGCCAACGAAGCAACTAGGGTGCGTGGTCCTCAAGCCAACCGCCCTCACCAATATGTCCTGGATGCCGGAACACATCAAACAAGCACTCGCCCCTCACATGGCAAAAGCTTGGAATGTGTTAAACAATCAGACTGCTAGTCAAAACGAGAAGGTGAACGCTCAAAGGTACCTGGTTGCTCTCACTCATCAAGTCCTGCACGAGAACCGCTATCATACCCTTCGACAGCGTATGCCTCTCGTCTGGAATTTGCTCAAGATCAGGCAGGCTTCACTACCTGGCAGCTCAGAGCATGAGAACGCGATGCAGACTTTGCAAACTTTCAAGTCCAACTTGAAGCCGGAGGAGAATATGTACGTTCAACACATGATTCAGGTTATGATTGATGCGGAAAATAATGGCAAGTCTGTGATGGATACACTCCATATTCAACCTCCGCGTCCGTGGAAACCTCCACAGTGTATCAACAGCGTGGATAGTTCGAGTAGTCCACCTACCTCATCTCCACTTCTGTACACGCCGAGCAAACCGGTGCCGGGTATGGGTACTTCGGCGATGAGTACACTAAATTCATTTCGTGGTAATCAATCGGAAGCCCCGGCGCCTTCCCAGCAACATCCAACTTCTCCTAACGGATATCACCCAGAGTTCTCCCCATGCTGCCGACGACAGCACCCGACAACCCGATGCAACGACCACGGTCACGGCCATGAGACCCAAGAATCCAACCGCATTCGCGAGTACCGGCAAAAGCAGTCCGCATACATGGAGCAACTCCTGCTCAGTGGAAATGGGCAGGAGTCCTGCCCGACAGAACAGAGGGGATCTTCGAATCCAGATCTACCCAGAATGCTAAGTGGAGAGTCGGGTGCTCCAAAGACTTGTATTAACCCGGCAACCTCGCAAGCTTAGCAGCAGCAGTGGAGAGGATTATGGGCTTCTTCTTGCATCCTAGATTCCTTCTTTGGGGGCATGGCTGCGTATATCAGTTACCATTTGCTTCCTAACTAGCGTTTCGAGGGCTTTCGTGGTGCCGATGGCTTGGCTAGGGTTGTGGTCGTTTCTGTTTCTAGGTTTACTCCTAGCTTTAGGCCAAAAGATTCTCATGTTCCCATGCCCGCAACTCTTCCAGCAAGATACTGGACACTAAATGCTGCGGGAACGGTCTAAGTAGGAGGTCAGGTTTCATCACATGATAAGACCACGGTGACGTGCTCAACGGAGGTACTCAGTTATCGTGTATCTATGTTTGCCCCAGATAATATTTGAACTTCGTATCAAAACCCGACTCTGGTCTAATCCACAGCTCTACATTCATAGTGTTATGGATTCATTCTAGGTTCCTGCCATGTGATGTTGTGAGATGCATAGTAGCTCCCCTAGTGTCAGTCTATTCTAATTCAGTCACATTACCTCTTACTTGTCACTTTAAGTTACTAACGATTCCCGAAAGCATGCTGAAAACAGATATTAATCACTACACTTCGATCCATTAGCACCGCTACTATCACTCAGGTTAAGTTACACGAGTTGACAACAGCTTATAGGAGCCTCTGATGTTATTCATAACGTCTATGAAATGAGACGACATGGACGTAATTTCGAACGATACAGAGAGAGCAACATCTCTAACATATCTCCCCCATATCAAAATGCCGCCTTCTTCACAGGACTCTAATTGTCGCTACCAGAAAGCCCCATTGCCACCCATAGATCGCATAAAAATGCTCAGCTCAGATACCGTAACCCAAGCGAACGAGCTGCTGTCAAGATGGTCAGTAAAATCCCAACCTCTTTCCAAATATAACCTACTACCTCTAACCCCCCAAGCTTCCTCCTTCTCTCTCTCCCCAGCATTCTCCCAGCCGGCTAACCCTAAAATTTGCAGTCACTCCCTCCAAGCTGAGCACAGCAATCCGCAAACTGCCTCAATTTCTCCGAGATCCTACTAGCCGGGCAATCCCACTCATTCCCGTATTGAATTGGCCCACCTCCGATGCGATTGCAGCAGCCTTGCGTGTATTTGCGGTCACCGCATTTGCAGGCCTCGGTGGTGGAGAAGAGAGTTAGGGTGGCGACGAGGAGGGTGGTGAGTTTCATGCTGGGCGGTGATGGTAGGCTTTAGGGTGTTAGAGCGCGTGTTTGTAGTGGTAGGTTGTGTATTTCAAACATCATCCAGGACAACCCAACCCTTTTTATATCTTTCGGTAACAGCGATTCCATGTCCAGATACTCCCAGCAATATTTCTTTTCTCGCCTAGTAATACCAACACCCATACTCTCGTATCAGCCTGAAGTACTCTCCCTTCTTCCTTCATTGGCTGCAGGACCCGTACAATCCGGAATACGAATCCTTCGGTCCTAAACATCGTAAAAACCAACATGTTACTCCTACAGTCATTAGTGAACAACATCTCTAATTTATTGTGGGAGGCCCTATTTGCAACCCCAAGGTATAATATGGATAATGATAGAGCCTGACACTCATTCAAACCATATTAAAACCTTGCGTTTCTCGTGTTGGCTGAATCCTTCAAGATCCTTGCACTACAGAATTGTTCCCGTATTCTACTAGCAGGTTCGTATAAACCAACTCGTAATTAGGCCTCCCCGTGTTTTCTCCGGTTTCCCCAGACATAGCCGCTTGCAGAAGTGGGGGCCATGTTGCTCGCTCCGAGAGGGCCGGCGATTAACCCGGTTAGGAAACCGGATGTGGGATCAATCCCGGTAGGCGGTACAGCCGCACCTTGTCTAGACGTCAGCTAAATATCTAACATGCCTTGGAAGTAATAGAAGTGCGAGATGCTCGTGGAGTATCTAATAAGGACCTCGAGGTGATATTTTCAATCAGCTCGGTTAGACAAGTGCCATCGAGCCAAAGACTTTATCACACGGCCCGACGAGCATCTCCTCGATTTCAATGCAGTCAAACCACTTCTAGGAAAGAAGATCAGAGATGAATCTAGGTCCGAGATGCAGCAAATCCCTACCCGTAGTCCATCGGCCTTAGCGGGTTTTTGGTTTTGTCAATAAAGTAACGTTCTGTCAACGGCCCTCATGCAGTCGCCGAAAGCGCTAACGATGCTCCTTCAAAAAGTGACCTATCCATTAGGGGGAAGCCACGGACAGCATCTCCCGCCTATACGCAGACTATCCTGAGATTCAACTTGCTCTCCACCAAAGGCAGGAAATCTGAATCAAAAGTATAAGTTGGCCAGCGTTCGTACAGGGGACAACAGAAACGAGTGACAGTTCTCGTGCCAGCAGCGCACTTGCGCCACCTCCCGAGCTAGCCGAGGATGCACTATAATGAGGGATCAGTCAAGGATACAGGAAAGTAAAATTTCCCGACCGCAAGGGCTGAGGTTCACAAGAGTTTCTGGCCCGAGAATCGAAAAGAATTTGTTTGCAGTTACTAGGCTCTAGTCACCTACGCTCCGTTCACCCACTGCTGCCTAGTTACGCTACATGATGCTGCCTAGAGCTACTCCTGGCCTTAAGTCACATGGTGGGTTCACGTAGTACTATATAAACCTGTAGTTGCCCTCCTTTAGCAATAAATCTAGTTCCTCTTTCCTCTGGTGCTCCTCCTAGCTTCACAGAATTTTAAACTCTTCCTGGCTGAGATTACAGGATTAATACTCTCTAGTTAGCAGTTAGGAAAGCCTACCAGCGCCGCAGCAGCCTAACCACAGCGCGGTGTCCGTTCCGTGAAACCCATGACAGCGGCGTCCGGCTGTACTCGTTGTCTTTTGACTCTAGATCAGCGCCCTTCTCAAGCAGCAGCTTAACCACCACGTCGTGTCCGTTGTTTGAAGACCATGACAGCGGCGTCCGGCCGTACTCGTTTTCTTCTGACTCTAGCAGCAGCGCCATCACTGCCTCGTGGCCTTTCTCTGCGGCCCATGACAGCGGCGTTTGTCTGTATATGTTGTCTTTTGTCTTCTGATCAGCGCCCTTCTTCAGTAGCAGCTGGACCACCGCCTTCTTCCCGTTTTCAGCAGCCCATGACAGCGGCGTCCGGCCGTACGTGTTGTTTTTTGACTCCAGTTCAGCATTCCTCTCGAGCAGCTTGACCACTGCCTCGTGGCCTTTCCCTACAGCCCATGATAGCGGCGTCCGGCCGTATTTGTTGTCTTTTGTTTCCAGATCAGCCCCCTCCTTGAGCAGCAGCTTCACCACCCTCTCGTACCCTTTTTCAGCAGCCCATGACAGTGGCGTCCGGCCGTACTTGTCTTTTGACTCGAGGTCGGCGCCCTTCTTAAGCAGCCGCTCAACCACCGCCTCGTACCCCTTCTTTACAGCTACTAATAGTTGCTCCTGGTCATAGTTCTTGTCTTTTGACTTTACATCAGCGCCCTTCTCAAGCAGCAACTTAACCACCGCGTCGTGACCGTTCTCTGCAGCCCATAACAGTGGCGTCTTGCCATCTTCGTTGTCTTTTGACTCCAGGTCGGCACCCTTCTGGAGCAGCAGCTTGACCACTGCCTCGTGACCCTTATCTGCGGCCCATGATAGCGGCGTCTGGCCGTACTCGTTGTCTTTTGACTCTATATCGGCGCCCTTCTCGAGCAGTAGCTTGACCACCACCTCGTGCCCGTTCTCTGCAGCCCATGACAGCAGCGTCTGGCCGTACTCGTTGTCTTTTGACTCGAGGTCGGCGCACTTCCCCAGCAGCACCTTGACCACAGCCTCGTGTCTGTTTTCTGCAGCCCATGATAGCGGCGTCCAGTCGTAGTTGTTGTCTTTTGACTCCAGGTCGGTGCTATTCTCTAATAGTCTCGTAGTGACAGCACGATGTCCAAAATATGACGCCACTAGAAGACTTGTAGGACAGAAGGTTAGAAACATCGCTTTCCCTGCAATAAATTTTGAACCACACCAAATATACTTTTGAATTTGGATCGCAAATTCTCAAAGTGTGAGATAGTATCGCAGAATCATCGCTAATGCAGGCCTCACGGAAGTGAAGAGTCCAAAATTGCGCTGAATAGTCCAAGAAGGCATGGCATTAATGAGTTGGTCCCCCCCCCGGGGTCGTATCTTTCAGAAGGCTGGGATCAGTGTGGAAGAAGTTAAGGTAGCGCACGCAGAGCTCCGCAAGAACGGTATGTGCATAGTGAATAGTGATAGAATTTTCCATTGTGGCTCCGGGCGAATGGTTTTGGACAATGGCGGATGTGCGATGAGAAACTCCCGAGCTGTTTGGTGAAAGAAATAGATTCTGCTATCGTAGACTGAAATGAACAATCCACACAACGATCTAAGACGTAACTTGAAGTCCTCTTCCTTTTCTAGGTCAAGGTTGTCAATAGACTCTGATGCGTTGTCTATATTCATGGCAGCGTTCATTTCTGATAGTGTTAGAGGTTGATCTGCTGCTAGAATAATACTTAAGGCCTTCTTAGCCATCTCTCGATCTTTACACCTGTTCAGAATCTGCTCATATGCTTCGTCGACGTTCTTTCTGAAGTCTTCGTCCTTTAAGTAGTCGAACACAAGATATACCCAGAGATATGATAGGTGATCTTTGACTTGGTCTGAAAGCAATTTCTCCTCTGCCAGCCGATCGACTCTGTACTTGATGACGAGGTTTACTTCATGACTAATAGTTTCTGACTCTTCCTCCCCTGGTATACGAATAAGCGGAGAAGCGCCTAACAGGCCCCGAAACCTGGACATGATCTGCTCATATGGGCGGCTTGTCATAAGATACTTCAACTTGCCACCGCCTAATTTGTCGCTGCGGGGTTGGTTTTCTATATTACGTACTAGGTCTTCAAACTCTGATTCAGCGCATTCGTCTAGGGCATCCAGGACCGTGATAACAAGTCTAGTTTGGGGATCTAGCACAGTATTTTTAAAAGATAGTCCAGAGTGATTTATTCGAGTTGATCAGACCTTTCCCATCTTTGTCAAATTGCTTCATGGCATGTTGGATTAGGGATGGCTGCTGAGAGAAGAGTTGATGGAGAAGAGCACACAGTGCTTGGCGGACAGTGTTCTGGTCCTGGGCTTTGAAGAAGTAGCAAATAGTCGCTGACCGCGGTAAGACACAGTCAATCAGGTACTTGGCCAGGACAGATTTTCCACACCTAGGGTCCGCTGAGACTAGCAGTGGCCCTGACTCTTGTTTTAACCATTTCTGGTAGTGGTCGTGTTCAAGAAACCACCTGCATGTGTCTTGTACTCGTTCCTCCACGCGGTCCTTAAAACACTCGTATGTGACATCCTTTGGCGCACAGAATCGCCTGCAGCGACTTGCCGATGTTATAATATTTTATTTGTTTGCCTATCTGACATTAGTATGAAATTGGACTTCGACTTTGGCCAGGCACACCGATTACTTGCGCATTGCCTACAGTCATTCCAAAAAGTCTGTCCCATGGCCTGAGCGCTCGGCTGTGGTCCCCTAGACCTTAAAAAATTTCCCCCACCTAATTTAGTAGTATAATTGTTTACCTGCTGTCTCCCTATCCACAAACTATGCCTACTTAATTTAGTAAAGCTATTATTACTTGTATACAAACCTGTCTTAATATTAGAATGCTAGTTTCTTAAATTGCAAGGGACCTAAGCATATCTTATAAGCCTGTTTACAGGATCTGTACCAGCTTAGATCTATAGGGCTGCCTGTATCCCCTGTTAACACTAAGACAGGGAAGACCTAAAGTAATATGTAAAGGCTAGCTTTAGGTAGGTAGTAACTATCTTAGTCCTTCTCTTAGTGTTATGCTAATGCTCTTATAAGGCCTACTTACTTTCTTTAAAAATTACCCTACTGCTTATTTTAATAAAATGTAAGACTTTTTACTTAATAAGTATAATATAAAAGTGTTAGCTAGTATAATATATAATTAGCTATTAAATATATAATAGTTTAAAAAAGTTATTTACTATTATTTCTTAGAGGGCAGTTTAAAGCTAAGAGATGCCTAGTATCTTTATTAGTAAGGCTAGTGTAACGGCGCAGGCAAGACAATGGGTCCGAATGCGGTATGAATCCACTCAGAGGCATATGGGAGTGCGTGGGGACTCAGAGACCTGGGAATACC